TTAATATCAAATACCTTTCTTGGGGGGGAGGGGGAGTCCAAAACTAAAATATTGATCTAAATACAATAAGAACGTAGAAAAAACAGAGAGAAAGAAAAGCAGGAAAAACAGAGAGAGAAATAGAGAAGAAATAGGTAAGAGATTTTTTAAAAAGAGAGGAAAAAAATAAAGTTCAGAAATTAAAGAACTTCCGACTCTTTGTCTGGCTGCTGTACCTAAGCAATATTCACTTCAGCCACTCCAGTTTAGCATCCTATAAAAGTCACGTTCTATAAACAAACATCATCTCCCACCCTCAAATTCCAATCCTCTTTGAAAGACATCTAGGGGGCCATCCCTGGCTCCTGTGGCAGGGAGTTCCACAGTTTAGGTATATGTGCTGCAAGAAGGAGGCTCCGAAGGAAATCCGGGCTCGGACTTCCGGGGTGGCGCCATCGGTAATGGCGGACTCCCTCTGATCCGGAGGGACTGGCTCTACGGAAATCGGGTCTGTTCCGCTACGGCGAAGCAGGGACCCTTTAAAAAATCACAGGCGGGTGAAGCCTGTGACCGTGGGACTCAGCGGGCACCTTTTGCGCCCCCCCAATTTGTAAAGGAACCCAATTACGGGCTCCGGAGCGAAGCGGAGTAAGCGGCGCGGTGCTGAGAGTCAACTGCTTCTTCCGTGGAGCGAAGCCGCACAGCCGTTACCGGAGAGCGCTACCTTTTTCCTGTAACAATCTGGCTACAAAAACAACTACCCGTGAGTAGGTTAAATTTGGACAATTGGACTCTAAACAACGACCGTGAGTAGAACAGAAAATTGGACTAAGAAATTCCTTTAATTTGGCACTGAAGCGGGAAGGTCTAAACAGGAAGTCAGCCTTCCGCTTTTTGTAGAAAGATTAAAGCAAAGACATGGCAAGCTAGAGTTTGTAAAGGATCAACTTTCATCATCTAAAATTACTGAATCCCCTTTGGAAGCAGGAGAAGAGGGTTGTTTTTTTTCTGGACTGTTTAAACCTGCAGAAGAGTGTGTAAAGAAAAGCAATTTTTCCACCGTCTTGAACCTGGGAGCGGGGTGTCAGGACAGACGTTTTTGGAGTTCATTGACTATAGATAAACGTTTTTGACAGACAGTTAAAATAAGAGAAACATAGTGATTCCATTGTTCTCCTTCGCAGTTAAAAGGAATAAAATATTGACAAAATATCTGAAAAAGGAAACTTTGTTGTTAGATCTGCTTAAAAAAAAAAAAAGAGAGAGAGAGAGATGGATACAAATAGAAGTTCTTCCCCTAGAGGGAGCTTGTGAAACTGTTATTAAATCTGAACTGGGGAGTTTTGCAGCTGCAATAGATTAAGATTGTGGGATCAGACTTTGACCTTGCACAACAATGTACTCGGAGGCTCTGGTGCATGCTTTCTGCAAGACAAGTGCTTTATTGGAACAGTTACATGAGAAGACGGATTTGATGACTGTTGTGATCAGAAATTTTGGACAGGTAGTGGGTATCTATATAGAACCCACTCAGGAATCAATTCAGGAGTGTGCTCTGACAGATCAGATGAGGGAGGAGGCTGTGGCTGGACCCCGGGAGGCAGAGATGGAGGGAACTGTGGCCCAGCAGGAACATGAGTTGTTGGATCTGACGAATGAACCTGGAAAAAGCCAGATTTGGAGAGATAGAGTCTTGTTTGGCTTGGAGATGGGGGGCTGGATAGACCCCCCCCCCATGCAGGGATGTTTTGACTTTTCAAGTCTGGCGTTGGGCCGGGAGGAGTTTGGAGTTGTGGGGGTCCTCAACTTTGGAGGGACCTTGAAACATGCTTTTAAATACCACATGGAGTTCAGTGTGGACTATGGAAAAGGGGCCGATCTGTCGAGAAGGGACAAAAATATTGTCAAGCTGGAGTCTCCACGAATGAAAGGAGCAGAAGACAAAGTAAAGTACAGGTATAAATATGAAGAAGATCTGCGGAAGGGACATGGAAGAGACTTAAGGGCCTCGGACATAAGGTTACCAGGTTAATGAACTAGATGGATGGGATAGAAAGGACTGACAAAACCCGGGTCCAGGAAGAAGAGACGCTGGATGAAGATTGGAAGAAAGTTTTAAAAAATTCTATTTAGGAATGTTTTCTAAAATTAATGAGTATTAGAAAAATGTTGGAACGAAATTATTTGGCTTTAGCAGAAATGTTAAAAAGAACTATGTAAGAATATTCTATGGTTATGAGAAACTGGTATAAATAAGATTTAAGTTTTAAGGTTTTTTATGGTAAGATAAGGTTAAAATAGATTAAGGTAATTTAATTACAGAATATTATGAAAAATGGAAAGGATTTGCTGTGACAATCAACAACTAGAATACAAAAAAGGGAGGTGTGAGGAGGTCGATGAAATAAGGTAATGACAGTTAAGGATTTGGGAATATTGGATCTGTTTTTAAATCTTTGTGGTTTATTTTTGCTTTCTGATTTTGATGTGCTATGTGTTTTGTTTTTGCTTTTTGCTTTTGACTTTTATCGATTTGTATTGCTTAATTGTTATTTGTTTTTTTCTTGGTTTTTTTCCTCCTCTTTTTTTCTTTGTTTTTTTTTTGTAAATTTAAAATTCTCAATAAACATCATTTAAAAAACAAAACAAAACAGAAGGAAATCCGGGCTTCCTGTTGGGGCGTTGGATCGACCACTGTGAGAACAGGATGAGGGACGAGGTGGGCCTCTTCCAAGGTTTTAATGGCACATCATGCCAGCCTCAGGTGGCTTTGAAGGAGGCACAGGAAAATAACAAGGAGGTGGGAGGTCATGTTGTTATTGTTTAGTCGTTTAGTCGTGTCCGACTCTTCGTGACCCCCTGGGCCAGAGCACGCCAGGCACTCCTGTCTTCCACTGCCTCCCGCAGTTTGGTCAAACTCATGCTGGTAGCCTCGAGAACACTATCCAACCATCTCGTCCTCTGTCGTCCCCTTCTCCTTGTGCCCTCCATCTTTCCCAGCATCAGGGTCTTTTCCAGGGAGTCTTCTCTTCTCATGAGGTGGCCAGAGTATTGGAGCCTCAGCTTCACTATCTGTCCTTCCAGTGAGAACTCGGGGCTGATTTCCTTCAGAATGGATAGGTTTGATCTTCTTGCAGTCCATGGGACTCTCAAGAGTCTCCTCCAGCACCATAGTTCAAAAGCATCAATTCTTCGGCGATCAGCCTTCTTTATGGTCCAGCTCTCACTTCCATACATCGCTACTAGGAAAACCATAGCTTTAACTATATGGACCTTTGTTGGCAAGGTCTCTGCTGGGAGGTCATACGTCAGTTTAATAATAGTAACAATAATAATTTTATTTATACCCTGCCCTCCCCAGCCAAGACCAGGGTCAGGGCAGCTAACACCAGGTATAAAAACAATTGATTAAAATATAACTTAAAAGCAAGATTAAGTACAACATTAAAATGCAGCCTCATTTCAGTAGAATCAAAAACTTTTTGGGAATGAAAACGTCAATTCTTCACCAAGGCCAACTATCCAGACTGGTCCTATGTGGGCCAGAAAAAAGCCAGGGAAGTCCCCAAATAGGAGTTCCATCACAGGAGAAAGGAAAGAAGAAAGAGGGAGAGGGGATCAAGTTGATTCCAAGCCAAAGGCCAGGCGGAACGACTCTGTCTTAACAGGCCCTGCGAAAAGAAATCAGATCCCACAGGGCCCTGGTCTCATGAGACAGAGCGTTCCACCAGGCCGGAGCCAGTGTTGAAAAGGCCCTGGCTCTGGTTGAGGCTAATCTGACTTCCTTAGGGCCTGGGACCTCTAGAGTGTTGCTATTTATGGACCTTAAGGTCCTCCGTGGGGCATACCGGGAGAGGCGGTCCTGTAAGTACGAGGGGCCTAGGGTTGCCAATATGTCTGACACAGGCATCGGAAACAGCGTCCGGTTGGAAATCGCTGAAATGTCCAGGAGAATCCTATCTCTAACAGCTGAACAAGTCTGGCTGAAGACTTCATTCGCCAAAAAAAGATCATGGACTCTGGCAACCCTATCTCAGCTGAGCCTCTCAGCCGCGACAACTGCCCTAAAACCTCCAGCGTCAGAGGCGGTTTACCTGAGAAGGCCTAGAGATGGGCTCTCTCCTTAGAGCACTGCTTCCTCCAAACAGGCCAGCTCCATCCAGCTTGGGACCGCCACTCCATCAGGCTGCCTCAGTGGGAGAGATAGGAAGTGTGATGGGATGATGAGCTGCTTGTGTGTAAAATAGTATCCCCTCAGAGTTTGTTCAAGTCCACAAACCTCTGTCTGTGACGGAGCCCCTCAGACATGGCTCCTCTAGTCACTAGCAGATTCCGACAGTGGTTGCTTTCGGAATCGCTTCCAACATAAAAGCTCCTTAACGGAAACACGTCTTCTGGACTCTCTGCGTGACAGTTTCCGGCGAGGAGTGGGTGTTCCTACAGGAGGTCCTGAAACCTCCCCACTGTTTTCGCTGGAAGTGTCTCTGAGCCATCCCTCCAGCTCACTTTCCCTCAGCTCAGCTCCTCTCCCCCTACTGGTTCCCTCTTCAGCTGCTGAGTCTCTCCCAACCTGTGTGAGCCCTTTCACCTCCCTTCCTTCCGATGGCAGTTCCCTGACAGGAAGCTTATACCCTCTTTTTTCATTGGGTTGTTATTTTTCTTCCTTTTCAGATTTGAGGCAGAGCTCCTTCAGGCCTTATAAGAACAACTCTTTCAGAATGTGTGCCCTGAGTTTGTTTTTCTCCTCTTCCCTCCCTGTCCCTTTCCCCTTGCATGCCGTGTACCTTCTAGGTTGTAAGCCTGCGGGTAGTGACTGTCTTGCTTTGACTGCATGTAAGCTACTCTGGGTGCCTTTTTGGCTGGAGAGCAGGGTGCAAATGCTCTAAATATATAAGCAATCTGACACGACACGATGGGTGCGACAGGGTTCTTTTTCGGTCTTCAAGAGGAACGACTGAGCAGGAGGGTTTGCCCTTTTCATTCCTACTAGAGGCAACGGCAAATAAGCACACAGAAAAAACTTAAGCATAAATAAAGGCTATTTAATGTAATATTTCCGGGAGATGGAGCCCGCGCGGAAGAAAGAGGAGGCCTCAGGGAACTGAAAACACACAGGAAGGAAGCAATATCTGAAATGGAGGCCTTGTCCGCAGAGGGCACAAATCTGAAAAGAAAAAAACAACAGAAACCCAATGAAACAGAGAAGAACCCCATGTCCCTCTTTCTCCCCCCACACCTCCATTTTCATTCTCACAATAATCCTGCAAGTTTATGCTGGGAGCTTGTGACTGACTCAGTGACCTTTTAGGGCCAAGCGACGATTTGAACCCGGACCTCTCTCCGGGCCTCGTATGATGCTCCAACCCACAATACCACACTGCCCTCCTTGTTCCCTGAGCACCCAAACTTTGAATAAATTACGCCATGGGCTTCCGTAGTCCCTGGGGCAAGATCTGTAAGGCTACGCCAACAACTCAAGCGTCATGGAAGGCCACAGGCTTCTCGCCTACGTCCTAGGCCCATGACCCAACCAATCAGGGATCCCATCCCTGACCATTGGCGCTGCTGGCTGGGCCTGATGAGAGCCGAGGGTCCTGCAGCTGCTGGTTCCCCATCCCAGCTCTAAGGTTGAAGGCGAGAGCCCCCAATGCAGGCTGACTCAGCCACAGGAAAGAGTGGAGGCTGGTCCATTTGGAGAGAACGGGGGCACTGCCTCACCAATCTCAGCCCCCTTCAGCCACCCCCACCTGCCTGCCTTCTTACTTGCATCCATGTGTGGGGCGGGACTGCCTCTCATTGGTCACAGCTGTGCCTCTCATTGGCTCTAGCGCCATCTGCTGTTGAGCTCCCTGCCTTCCGCCCTACCAGCCCCAATGGATGCCAGCCTACCACTGCATAGGAAGACCTCAGAACTTACCCTCTAAGGCCGCCCACCAGGCAGAACTATCGGCTCTAGAACCAACGGCGGAAAAAGGTGTCCAGGATGGAAGCGGAGTCGCCTAGGTCCTCTCCAGGGCGTGAACGGAAGGGTGACAGGTCTCCTGCAGAAGGAACCAGCCCGGTTAGCCAGAGGTGGTGTCATGGATAGGCTGGATGCCAAAGAGCGGTGGAAGGTACCAGCTGAGAAACCCCCGAAGGAAGAAGGCTTCAGAGCCAGGGGATGGGTGGTGGGAAGGCGATGGGTGGTTAGAGGGAGCAGGCTGGGAGGAGGAAGTGTCCAAAGATGAAGAGGGAACAGGGTTTAGTGAGCAGAAAGAGGCAGTGGCAGAGAGCGGTTCAGACTCAGAGGCAGAAGCAGAGGCTGGAGAGGAGGGGGTGGCCAGTCTGCTGAAGAAGCCAGGGAGTCTCCCCCTCCTGCTGTGTGACCAGCTCCTCTTCCCTCCTGGTCTCCCAGAACCAGAAGAGGCATGAAGAGGGTGAAGCAAAGAGTGACAAGACGAAGGAGTCTCAGCTTGCTGGGAAAGGGCCCTGGGGAGGAGCCTTAGAGAGCGGTAGAAGGGGGGGACCTTCCGCCCTCACAACTGCCTCACTGGGGCAAGACCTGCTGGGAAGAGTTGCTGTGCTCGCTAGGCCTGGACTGCTTTGTTTCTTTGAATGAAGAGTTAACTTTTCTGACACATAAGGACTAGAAACTTAAAAAAAGAAAAAACTGGAGAAGCAAAAGTTGAGATTCTTAGGAAGCTTCTGTGTGCTTCTCAGGAACGGCAGAACACACACTATGCCGAATCTCTGTTTCTCGTTTATCCTCAAAGGCCAGCATGAGATGAAAGTTCTCTCGAACCAGGCTCCCCCTCCTTGCACTCACCTGAGCCTCCTTGCCGGCCACCGTCAAACCCCGGACGTGGCTCCCCTCCGCTCTGGCGGGTGACAACTGTCTCCTCGTGACCCTGACTGTCACGCACTGTCCGTCTCTCTTCCACCGTCTGAAGCAAGAGGATGTAAGGGATGGGTGAAATTTGGGGAAGATTCCTGGGGTAGAAGTATAGACTCTGCTCGTTAAGAAGGGGATCCAGTAGGATCCAGTGTGATGAATGGCATGCCGACATTCAGAGGAGACCTTTACATTGCCAGGGACCTCAGGAGTCAATTCCTCCTAAACTGTTTTGAAGATTAATAAATTACTGAGCCCATTGTGTAGTTTGCCATTTTTCAGTTTAAAGCCAGAAGGTCCTGAGAGATGTCAATCAACAGCACCCCCTGCTGCCAGGTTAAAAAGTAAGCTTCACAATGCAGCTTGACGCTCTCTTCAGTTCATCTGAATGCAGAACATATTGCTAAATTGTCAGTACATACATATCACTATATAATAAAATTGTCAGGGTGTCATCACGTTACAGTTCGCATGGCCACCAACAGGTGGCCCCACAAAGTGACAGAATAGAACAATATTAGATATTGATATGTTACCCTTCAACCACCACCCAAGGCCAATTAATGCAGATAAAATATTCAACGCAATGAAATAAACCTATCCATCACCATTGCTTCTCAACCTCTCCTTGGCAGAGAATCTAGTTTTCAGGAGTGAAAATCCAATGGACACAAGTACCATCTAAGTACTCCTGAAAGTAGATCTTCAAAATGAATCAGCCTAAGTGAGTTATGTCCATGGATTTTGAATGGGACTACTCTGCATAAGATGGGACGCGGGTGGCGTTGTGGGTTAAAGCACAGAGCCTAGGACTAGCTGATCAGAAGGTCGGTGGTTCGAATCCCCGAAACGGGGTCAGCTCCTGTTGCTCGGTCCCTGCTCCTGCCAAACTAGCAGTTTGAAAGCACGTCCAAGTGCAAGGAGATAAATAGGTACCGCTCCGGCGGGAAGGTAAAAGGCGTTTCCATGCGCTGCTCTGGTTCGCCAGAAGCGGCTTAGTCATGCTGGCCACATGACCCGGAAGCTGTACGCCAGCTCCCTCGGCCAATAAAGCGAGATGAGCGCCACAACCCCAGAGTCGGTCACGACTGGACCTAATGGTCAGGGGTCCCTTTACCTTTTCACTCTGCATAAGGCTAACCTGGTATACACACACACACACACACACACACACACAGGATTAAAGAAGCTTTGGCACGTACCCCATCTGGTGCTACCACTTTTGTGATTGAGACGCTTTTGAAATACGACCGGGGTTGGGCTGGCGGAAGAATAGTCTCGAGCCCTTTGGACGTGACCTGCGAGTCCAGATCTGTAATAAAAATGTGACTGAGTATCAGCTGAGCCAATTTTTACACTCACACACCCCTCTCCATTCTTCCTGCAAGACTTCCAAGTTCCCACAACAATCCCCCCTTAAGAAAACAAATTCAGCATGTAAAAACACTTTTGCTTAGAGTGTGAATCATTTTTAAGTGAGAGAGAAGCTTCTATGCTTTCCTCTGCAACAATATGGACTAGCCACTTGAATGCACAAGAGTTGTCCTGGCAAAACAGATATGGCTAAGTCCAGCATCCGGCTCCCCACAGAGGCCAAACAGACACCTCTGGGGAGATCACAAGCAACAGCCCTCTGCTGCCATACCTAGGGGTTGCCATGTGCCTGGAATATCCCGAATATTTGGCAGCAGTGTCCTGGTGAAAATCAGAGAAATGTCTGGGAAAATCCAGTCATACAGCAACTCACGTCGGCAGTGCTGTTTCTGGCGATTTCCCATAAAAAAAGCTCCAAAACAGTAGTTTTGTTTGCGATTTTGCCCAAAAACCTCTATAACCTTGGGCAAAACTAAAACAACAACCAATAATTTTGCCCCACCACCAAATGCTCAACAAGTTTTCTGTCCAAATTTTCACTGTTTGAAATATGGCAACCCTAGCTATCCCCAGTCACTGAACACATACTCAGATATACTGCTCCTGAACATGGAGGGTTTATCTTCCGAAAACGAAAGGGTAGATTCTTGCATCACACAGCAAATTACCGTATTTTTCGCTCCATAAGATGCACTTTTTTCCTCTTAAAATCTAAGAATTGTCTGTGCGTCTTATGGAGCGAATGTGTGGTCCCTGGCGCTGGGGGGGGGGACCCGGGCTTCCCCCACCAGCCCCGACAAGCTCCTGAGCAGCTCGCGAAGCCTCCGCAGGGCGGCGGAGAGCCTTCATCCCACTGCCCTGGGGAGGTTTCGCGCGGCTATCACTGGCTTTTGCAAGACTCTCTCACTTCCCCCACCTCCCGCAAAAGCCCCCAAGAGCCGAATTTTTCTTGAATCCCACCCCCAAAGTGGGTGTGCCTTATGGTCAGGTGCGCCTTATGGAGCAAAAAATACGGTACATGCACTCGCATATATACAGACACCCAGCCATTTCCAAAACACTCATGAATAATCTGGGTGGTCTCAAAAGACCCAGACATGTGGCTCTTCGGATGTTTTGCCCCAAACCAACCACTGTTCCCTCCCCACCGTTTGCCCTCTGACCTCTGTCTTCCTTTGGGGTATCTTTCAGTTCTGGGTGAGGTGGATCAGTCTCTCGCAGCTGTAAAAAAAACAACAACAGAGAACGCAGTCAGTAAGGTCTGTGAAAACTGTGTGAGCGATGGGAGAAGGAAAAAACAAATGCAGAAGGAGAAGGCGGAGTGATATGGCAGAGTGATTGAAAGACTGGCTAGCCAATCAGCGTTCACCCATGACAGGGCCTTTTTAGTGATGGCTCCCCAGTTGCGGAATCCCCTCTCCATCATTATTAACTTCTGGGAGGAATTGTAAAAACACTACTCTTCACTCAGATAATTGGTTGCCAAAGAAGACTGTTCCAAACAACCCTGAGATCACTGCAAGGAGTATTGTTTTCAACTGTAGTTGCTTTTAGAATGTTCTAAATTGTTATTAGGGACATGGATGGTGCTGTGGGTTAAACCACAGAGCCTAGGACTTGCCGATCAGAAGGTTGGCGGTTCGAATCCCCGCAACGGGGTGAGCTCCCGTTGCTCAGTCTCTGCTCCTGCCAACCTAGCAGTTCGAAAGCATGTCAAAGTGCAAGTAGATAAATAGGTACTGCTCCAGCGGGAAGGTAAATGGCGTTTCTGTGCGCTGCTCTGGTTCACCAGAAGCAGCTTAGTCATGCTGGCCACATGACCCGCCGGCTCCCTCGGCCAGTAAAGCGAGATGAGCGCTGCAACCCCAGAGTCGGTCACGACTGGACCTAATGGTCAGGGGTCCCTTTACCTTTAAATAGTTATTGGTTTTAGAATGTTTTTGTTATAGCTGTATATAAAGGTAAAGTAAAGGTAAAAACCCGTGGACGGTTAAGTCCAGTCAAAGGCGACTAAGGGGTTGAGACGCTCATCTCACTTTCAGGCCGAGGGAGTCGGCGTTTGTCCACAGACAGCTTTCTGGGTCATGTGGCCGGCATGACTAAACCGCTTCTGGCGCAACGGGACACCGTGATGGAAGCCAAAGCGCATGGAAACGCCGTTTACCTTCCCGCCGGAGCGGTACCGATTTATCTACTTGCACTGGCATGCTTTCAGACTGCTAGGTTGGCAGGAGCTGGGACAGAGCAATGGGAGCTCACTCTGTCGCGGGGATTCGAACCGCCAACCTTCTGATCAGCAAGCCCAAGAGGCTCAGTGGTTTAGACCACAGTACCACCCACGTCCAGAGTAGGAGGCATAGCTATATATATAGTGTATCTCTTTGCTGCTTTGGGCTCCTTGGAGAGGAAGGGCAGGGTCTAAATTCCATCCATCTGTGGAAACAACTCCCTGCCTGTAGAAAAGTAGCCTATCCGGGGGGAAATGCTACAACAGCCCTATCTGTGACGTGCTCATTTCCTAAGGGAAAGGTCCTTTTTGTGTGTGTTTTTTAAGCATGTGTTTCTGTGAGATTGTGCATAAATATCACCGTGCCCCTCAAAATTTAAGGGACAGAGCAGTAGCTCAGTGGTTGAGCATCTGCTTCTTGCATGCAGAAGGTTCCAGGTTCAATTTGTGACATCTTCAGGCAGGGCTGGTAGAGACTCCTTGTCTAAAAATCCTCGGCAGCCACTGCCAGCCAGTGTTGGCAGAACTGAACTAGACGGACCAGTAATCTGATTCAGAACGAGGCAGCTTCATGTGTTCCTACCGGTCATGTGACGTAGTGCCACCCCGAATTCTACCACCTCAGTCTTCCAACTCATTCTGCATTATGGGCAGAACAGGTCAAACCAGGTAATTCCTTTGCAATGATCCCTGATGTCAGGGAACCGCCATCAGCTCAGAGGCGAGAGGTGGAAGGGCAGTTGTGTTACAGGGAGCCTCCGAAGATCTTGCAAAGCAGTTCTTCCTCTGGCAAGGAGGGAAGCCCCGCCTCCAGTGGGGAAGGGGCACAGGGATCAGAAGATGATAGGGAGACCCTCAAGTCCCCCTTTGCCAATGCCCACTTTGTGCAGTAGGTTTGCGCGCAGAGAGGGGAGGAGAAGGATGGGGGTCACACGAATGTTATGCTGGGGAAGGTATAAGGACCGCCCACTCCCAGATTCTGCCAGCGACTGAGCAGACATGGACTTGCGACACTCTGAATTGTAAATACTTTGTACAGATAATAAAGCCTGGAAAAGACAGGAGGCTGGAGTCTTGCCTGTTTGCTCTTGAGCAACTACACCAGCACCTGACACCTGACTTTGGGGATTTGTTTAAGGAGCAGACTGTCCCCATCTCTCTGGCCACCGCACCTGCCCAACCCCAAACATCAGGCCTCCTCTGCCAAAACTGCAACCATTCCACTTGGCCACCTCAGTGGGAGAGAAGAGAAGCAGGGCAGCTCCTACTGGAACCTGAGTTTGCTTTTTTCCTCTTCCCTCCCTGTCCCTTTCCCCTCGTGTGCTGTGTTTTTTTCTTGGGATGCAAGCCTGCGGGCAGGGATTCTTTGATTTAAATGATTATATTTAAATGATTAAATGACCTTTAAAGCCCTTCACAGCCTAGGACCCTCGTACCTACGGGACTGCCTCTCCTGGTATGCACCATGGAGGACCTTAAGGTCCATAAATAGCAACACCCTAGTGGTCCCAGGCCCGAAGGAAGTTAGATTAGCCTCAGCCAGAGCCAGGGCCTTCTCAACACTGGCTCCGGCCTGGTGGAACGCTCTGCCTCATGAGACCAGGGCCCTGCAGGATCTGATTTCTTTCCGCAGGGCCTGTAAGACGGAGTTGTTCCACCTGGCCTTTGGCTTAGAATCAGTTTGATTCCCTCCCCCTCTTTCTTTTTCCTTTCTCCTCCTGTAAAGAGGCTACATCCTAATGTTTTAATGTTGCATTTTAATCTTGTTTTTTAAATTGTATTTTAATCAACTTGTTTTTATTATTGGTTGTTGGCCGCCTTGAGCCCAGTATTGGCTGGGGAGGGCGGGGTATAAATAAAAATTATTATTATTATTATTATTATTATTATTATTATTATTATTACATAAGCCAATCTGGGAGCCTTTCCTGTAGCAGAATGGGGTACCAAACAGGGATGGACCCGGGTTCAGAGCACCACACACCCCTTGGAACGGCTGCCAGGGCCTCCTCTCTGGAGCTGTGGGGCCTGAGTCGTCCTCTAGGGCTCTGCTGCTGGACCTCTGGCTATCCGGATGTTTCAGCATGAAATCCCGCAGAGTCTGCCTCTTCTCAGGCGATGGTGCCGGTGGCTCTGGGAAATCTGCGGGCAGATAAACAACAATTGTTCATTTTGATTTTATTTATTCTGGGGTTAAGGCTGCAGCTCAGGGGCACAGAATCTGCGGAGAAACCGCCGTCTGAATATCTGGAGAGTTGCTCCCTTTTATTCAGGACCATGAGGACTAGAATCTTGCAGTCTTTTTAAGGGAAGAGAAGAAGGTTCCAGGTTCAATTCCCACTTGCCCATTTCCCTCCAAACCGGGCCATCCCTAGCAGGACGCAAACCCAGTTGAAGCCGCCCAAGATCTCGCCTACCAAAGGGCCCAGAAGGCAAACTCCTCACTCCCATCTCTTGGAAGAGGTTGTTGAAATCCTGGAACAGCTCGTCAAACCCGAAGGTATCATGGAAACGCATCCCGCCTGGGCTGAATGTGAACCCGAACCCAAAGTCCCCAGGGTGCCTCGCCCCAAAGCCATCTTCATCATCATCGTCATCGTCGTCCCGTGTGATTCCCCCAAAGAAGGGGTCGCGGGGCCTGTAGCAACAATGGGGAGAAGGGGAGAGGTGTTATGGGGGGGGGGTGTTGCTTTAAATGTTAACATGCTTGCTCAGCCTTAGCGGGGCTTATTTACTGTTAGGCGGTACTCTGTTTAAATAAACAAAAATCAAAATAGCATGTAATGCACAATGCAACCCACAGCTTGTAACTACAGTGGTACCTCAGGTTACATACGCTTCAGGTTACATACGCTTCAGGTTACAGACTCCGTTAACCCAGAAATAGTGCTTCAGGTTAAGAACTTTGCTTCAGGATGAGAACAGAAATCGTGCTCCGGCGGCACGGCAGCAGCAGGAGGCCCCATTAGATGAAGTGGTGCTTCAGGTTAAGAACAGACCTCCAGAACGAATTAAGTACTTAACCCGAGGTACCACTGTACATAAAAATGGCTAAAAACGATTACATGGATGGACCCAGGTTTAAATCTCCACTTGGGGATAAAATGTGGGGCGGGGCTTGGGCCAGCCCATATCCCTCAGTGCAGCCTACCTCGAAGGGTTGTTGCAAGGGGAGTCGGGGACCCTCCAGCTGCTTTTGGGGAAGGGCAGGATACCCACAGGGGATGCGGGTGGCGCTGTGGGTTAAACCACAGAGCCTAGGGCTTGCCTATCAGAAGGTCGACAGTTCGAATCCCTGCGACGGGGTGAGCTCCCGTTGCTCAGTCCCTGCTCCTGCCAACCTAGCAGTTCAAAAGCACAAAGTGCAAGTAGATAAATAGGTACCGCTCTGGCGGGAAGGTAAACGGCGTTTCCATGTGCTGCTCTGGTTCAGCCACATGACCCGGAAGTTTTACGCCGGCTCCCTCGGCCAATAAAGTGAGATGAGCACCGCAACCCCAGAGTCGGCCACGACTGGACCTAATGGTCAGGGGTCTCTTTACCCTTTACCTTTTAGGATACCCACACGTCGTTAAAACGTCACCAAATAGGCGGATTGCTTGGAATGAGGCCTTAGTAAATAATGCGATCGCTTTGCCAGCTGCAAGGCAGGCAGAAACTCGCCCGGTGTAGCCCCAAGGTGTTGGAAGGGAAGCTGCCCCGGTGGGATTTCCGCCTGCCAAGCTTTGAAAAGCTCAGAGGAGGAGAGGGGACAAAATATTTGCGCATAAAATAAGAAGCGAGGAGGATCCTGATTTCCCAGAGCCTCACCTCCGCTCCCCGGGGAAGCCGAAGAAACCCCGAAATACGTCGTAGAGGCTCATTCCGCGGCCAGCCGTAAAGCAATACCGCCACGCCTCCCTTCGCGCTTCCGCCACTCTGCTGTGAAACGCCCCCTTTCCTCCTCCCCCGTCTGCCCTTATATGGCGGCCGTAAAGCGACCCAGTCTTCACGACGCTACCTCTAAACGACACTCCAGAGATAGAACTGACGTTCTCCTCTCCGGCGGCTCATAGACTTATTCGTGAGTTAGACTGATGCAATGCGCAAGTTTCCGAGTTCAATCCCAACGTCCCCCAAGGGACCTTGTAAATCAATGGAGAATTTAGAGTTCCTTAAGGGCGATGGTTGACCTCGTACATTTTAGCCTCACAGAGGTTGATGTAAAAGCCTCCCTTGCCTGCAAGAATGCTGATAACTGGAGATCTCTCAATTTCCATTCAATCTTCAGTTTATTTCAGGTTTATTGATTGTAAGCAGGCTGGCTGGCAGGCCCTCTCCTTTTAACTATTGTACACCACCCAGTTACTTAAAGACTTAAATGCAGGTTCAGTTTTGTACAATGGTTAAGGGACACAAGGTTTTACTATCATCCATGGACAACAGATATTCAAGGCTGCCATAGAACAACTTTGGACTCAGATGCCTCCCGGAATTCCTCCTCCAGCCCAAAGATCTACAGGCCAAGGGTTCTAGAGAAGGGATAAAAAAATTAATTCCTTCCAGTAGCACTATAGAGACCAACTAAGTTTGTTATTGGTATGAGCTTTCGTGTGCACCACAGAGCCTAGGACTTGCCAATCAGAAGGTCGGCAGTTCGAATCCCCGCGACGGGGTGAGCTCCCATTGCTCAGTCCCTGCTCCTGCCAACCTAGCAGTTCAAAAGTACCTCAAAGTGCAAGTAGATAAATAGGTACCGCTCCGGCGGGAAGGTAAACGGCATTTCCGTGCGTTGCTCTGGTTCGCCAGAAGCGGCTTAGTCATGTTGGCCACAGGACCCGGAAGCTGTACACCGGCTCCCTCGGCTTATAGAGCGAGATGAGCGCCGCAACCCCAGAGTCGGCCACGACTGGACCTAATGGTCAGGGGTCCCTTTACCTTTATGGTGCTACTAGAAGGAATTTTTTAAAAATTTTGTTTCAACCATGGCAGACCAACACGGCTACCTACCTGTAACTAGAGAAGTGATATTTGGGGAGTGTTGATGCATCGAAAGGGCTCTCTTGGGGTGGGTTATTGGGGAAACTGCTGGAATAATCCACCCCTCTTGGATAGCCACTTATCCTTGGTCTTTCTGGGGGGGTGAGGAAAGCAGGATCTGCAGATACTGCGCAACACTGCAACACCTCAAGAACCGCCTTTCCCCATAGCTGGAGGACCCTGCGCTCATCATCTGAGGCCCTTCTTTATGTGCCTCTTCCATGAGGCTGGGAGGACATCGACAACCAACGGGGCCTTTTCTGCAGTGGCTCCCCGCTTGTGGGATGCTCTCCCCAGGGCAGTTCACGTGGCACCTTCATTACATAACTTTGGGCACCAAGGAAAAAACATTCCTTCTCCCAGGCCTTTGGCTAACTAAGCAATTAATGGCTTGGGGTGTGTGTGCTCTTTTTCTTACTGTTTCTTTGTGTTTTTATATTGTAAAACAACCTGCGGTCCTCAGATGAAAGGCAGCATTGAAATTTATTAAATAAACTACCACGAGCCACTCAAGTTCAAAGTTATCCGCTAAATTGATATTATGTTTATGGATGTTCTGTATGGTTCCAACGAGTGAAACACAGGTAAATTCAAGTCCAAGAAAGCAGCTGCTCTCGACTTGACTGTCTTGCAGTCTGCAATTCTTCTAGTCCATGCAAATCCATCCCCAAGATTTTGGCCCCCATAAATCCCAACGCTCCACTGCACAAAATTATGGTACATACAAGCAATGCCAAACTAGTATGCAGCACTGATTCTGGAGTTCTTCAGTCTTGAGTCTGCAGGTGTTGCTGGGCTCTAATTCCTATAATCCAGAGTGTGTTTAGCCAATGGCCAGGGATAATAGGAGGTGTAGTCATGTTTGAAGGCCGATTATCTAATGGTGGTGGGCTTTTGAGGACTGAGTAAAACTCAAGTTCTTTATGGTATTGCTTTGTTTTGAGTTACTGATCCACAAAAGTCACTTGAAGTAGCTGAACAGAACAAGGACTTGCGTACACATCCTCCTCTTGACTATACAGCGGTACCTCGGGTTAAGGGCTTAATTTGTTCTGGAGGTCCGTTCTTAATTTGAAACTGTTCTTAACCTGAAGCACTACTTTAGCTAATGGGGCCTCCCACTGCCGCCATGTGATTTCTGTTCTCATCCTGAAGCAAAGTACTACTTCTGGGTTAGCAGAGTCTGTAACTTGAAGTGTCTGTAACCCAAGGTATCATTGTGTTTGTACCTTGCCTGACATCACAGGGGGTGCAAGTGGCAAATGAATGGCCAGCCCTTGCAGAAATCCGTTATCAGAGCTCAAATAGGTGGGGGGAGAGGCACCATGACCTGACCAGGGTGTGTGTGAGAGGCTTTCTCTGGTAGGCAAGAGACTGGGAAGGTGGAAGGAGAGAGATTGAGGAGAGATATTGTGACCCTATTGTGCATGGGTAGGCAAACTAAGGCCCAGGAGCCAGATCCGGCTCAATTGCCTTCTAAATCCGGTCCGCAGACGGTCCGGGAATCAGCGTGTTTTTACGTAAGTAGAATGTGTCCTTTTATTTAAAATGCATCTCTGGGTTATTTGTGGGGCCTGCCTGGTGCTTTTACATGAGTAGAATGTGTGCTTTTATTCCAAATGCATCTCTGGGTTATTTGCGGGGCATAGGAATTCATTTTTTTTTCTCCAAAATATAGTCCAGCCCCCCACAAGGTCTGAGGGACAGTGGACCGGCCCCCTGCTGAAAAAGTTTGCTGACCCCTGCTATTGTGGGTTGGGTAGAGAAAACAGACAAACACAGCAGTCCTGGGGAGATGGCTTCAGTGTGGGGAATGAAAGAGGCTTGGAGGGGGGGGGCTGGGGCTGCCTGGCAGGTACCCTTTAAGTGCGCGCGCGCGCACACACACACACACACACACACACACACACACACACACACACAGAGTCCAACTATGGATGGAAAACGCAAGGCCCAGAGAACAGAGTGGGGTTTTCGTTTTTATATACAAGACACATTTATCCATTAAATTTAGAACACAGTACAAAAAAAACACTTCAACTAATTAATCTTACAATGCGGTTCATATCAATTACTGATCTTATTCCTAATAATAAAGGGGGGCATTGTAGGAGGAGGAGCGGGGAGAGAGAGAGAAAGAGAGAGAGAGAGAGAAAGAGAGAGAGGATTCCAGATGTTGACTCCTTTGGATCCGTCAGGCGGTACTTCTTTTTTTTCTTCCTTCCTTTTTCTGGGCGGGTGGGTGGGTGGGGAGGGGCGGGAAGAGGAAGAGTAAAGGAGTAGAAAAACGAAACGAAACAAAAGGCCCCTACGGCTGAACAGCTCGTAATCTGAATGAATGCAGAGAAAGAGAGAGAGAGAGAAAGGAAAGAAAAAAGATACAAATTCTATATTACATACAATGGGGAAGGGGGGGGAAGAAGGTGGCTGGAGGGATGGGGAGGGGAGGATGCCGAGCCCAGAGCCATGTTGGCCGGGGTCCGCCGGGGCTGTTGCAGGGCTGTGCTGAGGGCAGGGGAGCTCTTCTTTCCTTCTGGGGTCCTTCCTTCTTGGGTAGATCGCTGTCGTCCTTCTGTTTGTCTCTTGGTTGAAGTGTGTGGAGCCGCCTCTGAGCCTCCCCTCAATTGGCGCCCCAGTTGTAGCTGTTGTAGGCAGACTTGTTTGCCTGCGACTTCTGCGGGATGGAGGTGCCCTGGCTGCGCTGCCCAGTGCCGCTCTGTGCAGGAAGAAAAGGGGGGGAAGTAGGGAGAGAGAGGGGGGGGGAGGAAGAAGGTGAGCGAGGCTCGACTAGCAGCTAGCTCAGCTCCCCAGGCCTTATTTGGAGGCACGAAACAGGCTCCAGCAACCCATGAGCATGTGAAATGAGTAAATCAGCTCAAGAAAAGAGGTTGCTTCTCTTGCCAGCAACAGGAATGCTCTGTCTGCCTCTAGATCAGTGTTTCCCCAACTTGGGTTTTCAGCTCTTTTCAGACTACAATTCCCATCACCCCAGACCGCTGGCCTTGCTATCTAGGGACGATGGGATTTGTAGTTCAACAACATCTGGGGACCCACAGGTTGAGAAAGGCTGCTCTAGATCAATGTTCCCCCAACTTGGGTTTCCAGCTCTTTTTCAGACTACAATTCCCATCATCCCTGACCGCTGGTCTTGCTAGCTAGGAATGATGGGAGTTGTAGTCCAAAAAAACAGCTGCAGACCCACCTTTGGAAAACACTGACCTAAACGCTGGACTGCAGCTCCCACCAGCCAGCAAAGGCAAATAAGTCAGGGATGATGGGAGTTGTAGTCCAGCGACATCTGGAGGACGCCACAAGTTTCTTGCAGCCCGGCTCCGGAGCAAGGCCAGGAAGGGCTTGGGGTTTTTTTGATAGGGCTTTTGTTAGTTCACCAGCCAGAGCCAAGCGCAGCACAGGGTGGGTGTGGAGAGATGCACAAAATGACAAGTTTTGGGTGGGGGTTGAAGCCAAGCATACTCCAGGAGACATACACGGGGATGACCTGTGTACACACGTACAAATCGGCACCTGAGGACTGCCAATTCAGGGTTTGGAAAGACCCTTCTGCTGCCACTGCTGCCAGACAAGGGGAAGTCAGAAGCCTTTGCCAATTCCATGGCAAGTGGCAACTTATCAGTAGATCCTCCCTCCCTCTACTCTAGAGGGAAGAGCCTGGACTCTGCCACCAATGGCCAAGGACCATAGCAAATTGCCACAAACGCTCCCTGCGATGTCCCAAATCCTACTGTGCCGTTGGGTAGACTGGGAAAGCAAGGTACTCCAATTCTAGTTGCAAAATCTGACATGGAGAGTTTTACAACGTGGCAGGGCAGGACACCAGCAGCTGCTATTAGTTATCAAAGCATAGCCAATAGTTTGGACAGTTCTGCCTGCTGAGCGTAACGGCACCCGCAGCTTATCTCTGTGCTTGGCCATTCAGATCTGAGGTGGGGGATCTAAGCTGGACAACTTTTAATTTAATTTAATTCATCAAGCCGACTTGGATCCCGGTATTCTGTGGTGGGGAATCCACACTGCACACGACACAATTTGGTAGAGGGAGCAAGTGCTTCTTAACACAGCGCACGGTTAAAGCTCATCACCAGGGATAGCCAACGTGGTGCCCTTTAAATGCTGAAGGGCTGCAATTCCCACCAGCATCCCAGAACAACGTTCAGGGATGATGGGAGCTGCCAATCAGCGTCATCCAGAGGGAACTCAGTTGGCCAGCCTCGTTCCTGGCGGTAAGAGCTGTTTGATGGTGGAACAGCTTGGAATTTTTGTTGGAGGTTTCTAAGCAGAGGTTGCTTGGCCATCTGCCTGGAATTCCTGTGGCTGCAGGGGGCTGGACTAGATGACCCTTGGAGTCCCTTCAAACTCTCCGATTCTGCTCATGACGTGCTGCCTCACTTCCAACACGTCCTGCCTTTGCTCCGTTCTCCCTAGAGAGCCTGTGAAAGGCTGGTTCACCATCGACCAGCCCCAGGACAGAGGGAGGAGCAGGGAAAGAAGATTTCTATGGCATGTGGGTCCATTGCCCTGTGCGTGTTGTGTGTGTATGGTTGTGTTTTTATGCCCGCATCTGTCTGGGGCAGAGCTGGGGGAACTGGTAGCCTTTTCCAGGTTCTGCCGGACTCCCAGGAACCTCCGGTCAACAGGCAGGGAGGAATGATGGGAGGCTGGAGTCCGGCACACACGTGGGAGGAATGCAAGCTTCCTTCCAGCTCCCTAGCCTACGCAAAGACTGACCACAGCCACCAGGGCGCAGCAGGATGGGCGCAAGCGATCACTCCCTTCCAAGAGGTTCGTTACCTGGTCTTCCTGCTGGCGTTGGAAGTACAAAATCGACTGTTTTGGGAAGGTGGAGGCAGGCCCAGGATATGGAAAATACAAGGAGACGTTATGACAGCCCCCCTGGACCCAAGTGTGTGAGGACGAGTCTGGGATGTGGCAGGAGGGGAGAAGTGGACTGGGTAACGAACCAGTAGATGGGGCGATCAAGACACCTGTTAGAAAAGTATCCCAGGGCCTTCCCTACTGCGTGTGCATGAGGTGTGTTGTTTTACGTCTCTGTGCAATGAGGGGGATGGAGATGGAGGAGGAGGAGAAGGAGGAGGAGGGACCTGGAGACAGGTGGTGGTTGCCCAAAGGAGGGAAGGTGTATTGGGACCCGGCCTTACCTGCCCGTCCTGCTGCAGGTGGTGGTGCAAGATCTGGGAGTGCGGCTGCTGATGAGGCGTCAGGATGTGCATGAACGGGGCCGGCGGATATGCTGCGGCGGTGGCAGGGTTGATGGGGCCGCCACTGCCCAGCGCCGATGGCAGGTTGAAGGAGGCCGTGGGGGTTCCGGTGTGGAATCCCTGCTTCTCAAACGACTGCTGCTGGGTACACATACACACAGAGGGGCGTTTAGGGACAGGAATTATACCACAAGCGTCTCCTATGTCCATAGCTGTCAACTTACAGATTTGAAAATAAGGGACCAGCAGCCTCGAAAATAAGGGATCAGCAGCCAAAATAAGGGATTTTGCTGTTGTGAAGTTACGTACATTGGTAGAATTGACAGATGCTGTCAATCCGGCATGAGGCAGTTGCGGCGCTGCGGCGGCCGCTGAAGCGCCGCCCTTCTGCGTCCCTCCCCATCCCCTACTCTTCCTCCTCCCCCAGGCCGCCTCCTCAGCTGCCACCACCGCTGCCGCCTCCGGGCTCGTGGGCGGCGTGGGCAAGAGTCCCTCTTCCTCCCCCCGGGCGGGGAAGGGCCGATGGAACTCCTCGCACTAGGACGACAGCGCCAGCATGCGCTCTTTCTCACGGCGGAGGACCCCGAGCTGCTGCTTCCCTCCCGAGCTGGGTGAGCATGAAACCCGGGAAATTTAAGGGACATCATCAATAAGGGACAGCAGCGGGACACAGCGCTGGGATAAGGGAGTTTCCCACCAAATAAGGGATGGTTGACAGCTATGCCTATGTCGCTGGCAGGGAACCTGCGTCGCCACCCCACACCCCGGTTCCTGATGTTGCTGGGCTCCCATCAGTCGCTGCAACAGCCAGAGTGGCTCAACCGTCAGGGATTATGAGAGTCAGGAGTGCAGCAATATCTGCAATGTGCTCCACATGGGGCTGCCCTTGAAAGTGACTCAGAAATGGCCCGAAATGCAGCTGTCAGATTGCCCACTGGGGCTCCATTCAGATCACACACAAGCCCTCTTTGAAAACAGGTTGCCAGTTCATTTCTGGGCCCAATTCTAGGTGCTCACGTTAAGCGTTTAAAGCCCTAAACCACTCAGGCCCCAAATATATGGAAGACCAGATCCTGCCCTACAGACCCTCTAGATGGGACCTGCTCGGTAGTTTTGCCTCCCTCAGTAGGTGCGGGGAGGGGCTGGCCAAGGAGTGGGCCTTCTCTGTGGCAGCCCCAAAATTGTGAAACTCCTTCTGCACAGAGAAGCGCATGGCACCTTCGTTATACAGCTTCCGGTGAATGCTGAAGATGCATCTCTTTACCCATGGGCCTTTGACTCCCAAGATGTATACAGGCAACCCCTGATTTGTGTGGGGTTTGCATTCTGGGTCACTGCGTGTTTGCGTGAAATCATGTGCAATTGAAACACCTCGTTCTGTCCCGTTCTGCTCTTTTAGTGATGTCTTTTATGATGTTTCTGAGTCACTTCCGGGTTCGGTGCTATGCGCATGTGCACAATCATGCACAAAATAATACAATCACAAAAAACAGGGGAGGGGGTCCTGAAAAATACAGGCATCTCGTTTTAGGCGCGACCCCCTCCCGTTTTTTGCGGTTGTATTATTTTTGTTCCTCAGCAGGGGAAGGGGAGATTTTGGTGGGGAAACCGGGGCAGTTCCTTTGCTCCTACACTCCAACTGGATTACTGCAAGGCAGCCAAGCACCCAAACCTCACACAGCACACTCAGGAGTCATCTCCCACATTGCAGCACCAACCTGCGTTTTGGAGTAAACAGAACCAGAGATGTCTGGCACTCCTGTGTTACTGGATGTTACTGACACACCTGGAAAAGGGGGGGAAACAAAGCGGCGTTAGCAGTTAGCTTGGTCGGTCGCATGCAAAGCCCAAACTCCTCCCCTCCTGGCTCCCCTCCCTCCTTCCCAGATCGATTTGAGGGTGAGAACAGCCTCCTAGCCATCTCATGATGTTGCAAAGGCTTGCTTTGGTGTACATGTGCACACATCAGCTTGGATGCAGTGGCGAGATGCAAGCAGCAAAACAAGCCGAGCTTGTCTCCTGGCAAGAGGGAGGCGCTGTGGGAGAGTGGCTCCCATGTCCAAGAAACTGGTCAGATGTCTTCTCTGGAAGGAGCAGGCTCACAATATGGCAGTGCTGCTCTGTCACTGGAATGCCCAGGTAGCCTCGGTGGCCAGGTGCTCATTTTACCATACTGATGCAGACTAAGTTCCTTGGAGCATTACAGGTAAAGGGACCCCTGACCATTAGATCCAGTCACAGATGATTCTGGGGTTGCAGCGCTCATCTCGCTTTATTGGCTGAGGGAGCTTCCGGGTCATGTGGCCAGCATGACTAAGCCGCTTCTGGCGAACCAGAGCAGTGCAAGGAAACGCCATTTACCTTCCCGCCGGAGCGGTACCTATTTATCTACTTGCACTTTGAGGTGCTTTCGAACTGCTAAGTGGGCAGGAGCTGGGACCGAGCAACGGGAGCTCACCCCGTCACGGGGATTCGAACCGCCGACCTTCTGATTGGCAAGCCCTAGGCTCTGTGGTTTAACCCACAGCGCCACCCGTGTCCCTACTATCTATAAATCCTTTTTAAAAAAGAAGCAGCAGCAGCAAATTTCATAGTTTATTTTGTTCTGCAAAGGCAAGGGCACAAGTTAAGCCTGGAAAATCTGAGCAGTGCCGGATTTATGTATCAGCTAATCAAGCTATAGCTCAGGGCCCCACTCTCTTGGGGGCCCCCCCAAAAATTAAAGGGGGGTCCTAGGCTCTGTGGATTAACCCACAGCGCCACCTCAGAGCGTTAGGCCCTACCTAACGCCGTGTCTGTGTCTGCCTTCCTGATTAAGCAGTGCAGGGTCTGTATCTGGGAGCAAGACCAGGGTGGGTTTTCCCAGCTACCCCAACCGCAGCCTTTGGAAGCCTTGCAAGTTGCTGCAGGAGAGGGACTGTGAGCAACACAATGGAAAGGGCGTTTCTGGGACCAAGGGGAGACTTCGAAGCTCCCTTGTTATTTTTGCTGTTGCCAGGAGGTCTAATGCTAACATAATCTTGTTTCAGTTATAGTAATGAAGTGCTGGTTTTGTTTTTTTTTTGTATGCTGCTATATTTGCCGCTAGGATGCCGTTATGAAATGGCTCTTGCAGTGGTTGATTTTGAGACATGCTCCTGTTTTCTTTGCTGTTCTTTTGGTGGGAAAGAGGCATGCAAATGAAACTACAAATGAACGAATCTGATGGAATCTGTAGAGAAATGTGGGGCCATCAAGAGGACCAACCCAATGGAGCTATTTTTGAGGAGTCAAAGCAGGCATAGGCAAACTCCATCCATCCTGATGTTTAGAACTACAATTCCCATCATCCCTAGCTAACAGGACCAGTGGTCAGGGATGATGGGAATTGTAGTCCCAAACTTCTGGAGGACTGGAGTCTGCCTATGCCCAAGTCAATGGATGGCTGTAGGAATTTATAACAGACCCTAATATTATGAGCATGCAAAGCTGCCTTGTCTCAAGTCAGACCACGGGGTCCATCCAGCCCCAGATGATTTTGGTCCTCCAGAAGGCAACTCTCAGGAGCAAAAAAGGCTAGTGGTATTCTAGGCTGCATCAACAGACGTCTAGTGTCCTGGATCAGGAGAAGTACTAGTCCCACTCTATTCTGCCTTGGTCAGGCCACACCTGGAGTCCAGCTCTGGGCAGCAGAATTTAATAAAGATGTTGGCAAGCTGCAACGTGTGCAGAGGAGGGTGACCAAGATGATCAAGGGTCTGGAAACCAAGCCTTGTGAGGAATGGTTGAAGGAGCTGGGCATGTTTAGCCTGGAAAAGAGAAGCTATGATAGCCATCTTCAAATATCTAAAGGGCTGTCCCATGGAAGATGGAGCAAGCTTGGTTTCTCCTGCTCCGGAGGGTAGGACTCGAACCAATGGCTTCAAGTTACAAAGAAAGGAGATTCCGGATAAACAGCAGGAAGAACTTTCTGAGAGTGAGAGCTGTTCGACAGTGGAATGGTCTTCCTCAGAAGGTGGTGGGTTCTCCTTCCTTGGAGGTTTTTAAGCAGAGGTTGGATGGCCACCTGTCATGGTCGCTTTAGTTGAGATTCCCGCATTGCCGATGACCCTGGTCCCGCCCAGCTCTATAATCCTATGATCCATACCCACTGGGCATCACCAGCTGGTGTCCTGCAACACCTGGAAGTAACCTGTTGGCTTTTGGCTCTATTTTTAAAAATGAACCGCTCCGTTATATTTATAAAAATACCTATACAGTGGTACCTTGGTTTACATACGCTTCAGGTTACAGACTCCGCTAACCTAGAAATAGTACCTTGGGTTAAGAATTTTGCTTCAGGATGAGAACAGAAATCGTGCGGCGGCAGCAGGAGGCCCTATTAGCTAAAGTGGTGCTTCAGGTTAAGAACAGTTTCAGGTTAAGAACGGACCTCCGGAACGAATTAAGTACTTAACCCGAGGTACCACTGTATACCGCTTACAACTGTACCCCAAAACCACATGTGAAAGTTAAAAGTCAGAAACCACGGTAACTCTTGCTGAAAGATGTTGGCTTGCATACTAAGCCTGGCAGAACCCAAGTTTCCAGCAGGCATTTCAAAGGTTGCAATGGAAGGGCCTGCCTGCAGATTTTCTAGTGGCAGGGCGTTCTGCAGGACTGGGCTGATGGCACCAAAGGTTTGGCCCCTTGCCTTCGCCCAGTGAGCCTTGCCAAGGAAGGGAACCGCGGCTAATGATGCCCCTTGCAGACGATCTCACGCCCTCCCTCAGGGCTGCTTCAACTCTTGTGGTCGCCCCACCTACTCACCGGTGCTGTATCCATGGGAGCCGTAGCCGCTGGGCTGCTGGAAGGGGGTGGCCGAGGCGTTCATGCTGACGTTGACGCTGTGCTGCTTGGAAGAAGTGGGAGCCACCTGGGGAAAGCAAAGGGCTGGGGAGTGAGCAGGGTGGGAGGAAGCAGCCGGGTCTGGCTCCACCCCAGCCCCACAGCTCCACAGCAGGCCGGCACTCACGGGGAACACAGCTGGCCCGTACTGGAAGGTGCTGGGCAGCCCCGGGACTCCGGTGTAGTAGGGCAGGCTGGTGTAGCTGTAGCCGGGAGGCAGGGCCGGGTTCAGGAACGTCTGCTGGGTGGTGTGGTGCGTCTGGGTCTGGTTCTGCTGAGGCTGGGCCAGGGTGGTGGCCGGCGCGGGGGAAGAGGCGTCACCACGGCCAAACTTCGTAAGGTCACCTGGGGGGGAGGGCAGAGTGATAATAAATAATAATAATAATAATAATTTATTTCTACCCTGCCCATCTGGCTGGGCTTCCCCAGCCACTCTGGGCAGCTTCCAACAAAATATTAAAACACAGTACAGTGGTGCCTCGCAAGACGAAATTAATCCGTTCCACGAGAGTCTTCGTCTAGCGGTTTTTTCGTCTTGCGAAGCAAGCCCATTGACGGATTAGCGCTATTAGCGCTATTAGCTGGTTTAGCGGCTATTAAAGGCTTAAAGGCTTAGGGATTAGCTGCTAAAAGGCTATTAAAGGCTATTAAAGGCTTAGCAGATTAGATAAAGGGGGAAAGCGAAAAAAATCTCAAGACTCGCAAGATATTTTCGTCTTGCGAAGCAAGCCCATAGGGGAATTCGTCCTGCGAAGCAACTTCAAAACGGAAAACCCTTTCGTCTAGCGGTTTTTCCGTCTTGCGAGGCATTCGTCTTGCGGGGCACCACTGTAATGCATCAAACATTAAAAGCTTCCCTAAACAGGGCTGCCTTCCGATGTCTTCTAAAAGTCTGGTAGTTGTTTTTCTCTTTGACATCTGGTGGGAGGGTGTTCCACAGGGCGGGTGCCACTACTGAGAAGGCCCTCTGCCTGGTTCCCTGTAACTTGGCTTCTTGCAGCGAGGGAACTGGCAGAAGGCCCTTGGCGCTGGACCTCAGTGTCCAGGCAGAACAATGGAGGTGGAGACGCTCCTTCAGGTATACTGGGCTGAGGCTGTTTAGGGCTTTAAAGGCCAGCACCAACACTTTGAACTCTGCTCGGAAATGTACTGGGAGCCAGTGTAGGTCTTTCAAGACCGGTGTTATATGGTCTCGGCGTAGGGTCCCAATGGCAAAAGTGTGCATCGAGTTTGCCACCACCCTTCTCCAGCCACGTAGGGAGATTACGACACATTACTGATAGGATTCAGCTGCCTCTGCGTGTTGTCCACCACCTTGCTCCACTTTCTGCGCAAGTTATGTTTGTAAATACTTAGAATAAATACCCTGTATTTTTCAGCGTATAAGACGATTTTTTTTGCTACAAAAACCCCCCCTTTTAGTCCAAAATTGGGGGTCGTCTTCTACACGGATAGTGAATGCACAGGGGTCCATCAAATGTCTGGGTTCTTGGCTTGGGTGGGCCAGAGTGTGGTGTTTGGCAGGGTGATTGGGTGGTGGGTGGGTCTTGGTTTGCCCGAAAAAAAGTTCAATGGCTTTGAGGGCGATTTCCCCCAAAAGGCTGAACAATTTTTCATCGCTGCCGATCATTCGGATTTTCACTTCTAAAGATATGGCAACCCTAAAATATTGATTTCCTATTTTTGGGTTCAAAAAAACAGGGGTCGTCTTATACACAGAAAAATACGGTAAGTGGCAACCCACCCCCACAAAAAAAAACCCCACCCAAAGGACCTAGCTTGGTGCCAACAAGTTAGTGTTCTAGCAGGTATCTTCCTATATAAAGAAGAATGTAAGATGTCGTCATGCTTTGCAGTTCGCGTCGCTCCCTTCCCCATTCCCTTTCCCTTCATGTGTCTTGTCTTTTAGATTGCAAGCCTCAGGAAAGGAACGGCATTGTCCCTTGGAGAGCCTCTTTGACTGATTGATGGATAGGATATGAATACTGGAAATAAGTAAGTTAGTTGAACAGAAACCTACAGAATTAGTCTGATTAGGACGACAACTGAACTGCCCTTCCCAGGTGGCTCAAATCCAACTCCCTTCCCCAACCGTCTCCTACCAGAGTAAGGATTGCTGCTCAAGCTGGCGTCTCTTCCAGTAAGCGGGGTGGTCTGTGTGGGGAACGGGATGCTGTAGTAGTCCTGGAAGAGAGGCAGGAGGAGAAGCTAAGGATGTTCATCTCAACTGGGGAGGAGGAGGAGGAGGGACCTGGCCTCCAGGGACCAGAAAGCAACCCCAGCACACATTTGAAACACATGACTTCCCCCAAAGAATCCTAAGAAATGTCGTCTGCTAAGGACGCTGGAGGCTGTGGCTCTGGGAGGGGGAAATTACAGTCCCCAGGATTCCTTGTGCTTTAAATGGGCACAGCGAGGATCTGCCCCAAGTAAAAAGGTTGGTGTCTTTGTGAAAAACAAGAGCTATATCTGAAGGGGATGGAGAAGAAGGAGAAGACCAAAAGCAGTACCTTTGTTCAAAAACTGGGCTTGTTTATTAGTTACTGGCAAAGTACCACTCCCAGGTGTCACATAGCGTTTAGCGGATGTTATGGGGTGGCATACAAATGTCATTTTCAAAGACAATTTATTTTCAGTTTATTTCAGGTTTTGCATTTAAGATTATTCCAGTCTGCTCCATTATGAAAGTGTTACAAACATTGCAAGAGAAGGTGTCCTGCTACACAATGCAGAACAGCGGGAGACGGCATGTTTTCTAAGTAGCAATGATGATGTTATTTTAGGAGGGCAGAGGGAGGGCTGAATTTAACTCACCAAGGGGAATCTCGTCTGAAGCATCTGTAGGTCGTCGTAGCCATAAACCTGCGGCTGCAAGAGAAGCAGCAGGTTAGGGAGAGGCCGTGTCTCTCACAAGGGACGTTCATTTTTGTATTGTGTTGTATTGGTTTGTTTGGATTCGCTTCCCATAAACCAGGATTATTTCAAAGGTCTTGGGTTGTTGTTTTTTTGTCGGAGTCAGATGTTGCAACACAAGCAGGCTGGAGGCTGCTTTGACTGCATCTGGTACCGACTCCAGGTTGATTTCACATGCTCTGTCCCTCCTGCCATGCTATGGTCAAGAGCCAGGCAAGATCTACTGGCATGGAACTGTAAAGCGGCCCCTACTCACCGGGTAGGCGTGCAGCAGCCCTGGAGCCATGATGTACGGGTTCGGCAGCAATGGGGGCACACCTGGGGGCAGGTTGGGTGGAGCCTTCCCTATGGGGAGAAAGCAGAGTTAACTACGGACATCCCAGGACCACTGCCCCCTCCTCTCCCACGAGAAGCAGTGAGACTTACAATTATGAGAGAGCGAGCATGCACAAACCAAAATTTAAAAAGTGTGTGACTGGCAATGTTAGATACGGAAGAGTAAAGATAAAGCTCATAGCTGAGTGGGAGGAAACAAGCTTCTGTGTGCGGAAGATGGCAAGTCCAAAGCCTGCTGTCCCTAGATGTTATTGGACTCCAGCTCCCATCAACCTCAGCCGGTATGGATAATGGGAGTTGTAGTGCAGTAACATCTGGCCACAAGTATTCCACACCTGTCCTAGACACATGTCCCAACCAATCAGGGACCACGTAAGTGCACTTGCAGAGGTGCAAAGCAGGGATGGGGACCCTGCGGCCCTCCAGATGTTGCTGGACTCCAGCTCCCATTAGTCCCAGCCAACAGTATGGAAATACTGTTTGGAAATACCTGGAGGGAAGAAAGTTCCCCATCCCTGGCTTAGGGACATAGGAAGCTGACTTCGGCCAGTTATGATAATATTAATAATAATAATAATAATTCCCTAAATAGGGCTGCCTTCAGATGTCTTCTAAAAGTCAGGTAGTTGTTGTTCTCTGACATCTGGTGGGAGGGCGTTCCACAGGGAGGGTGCCACTACCGAGAAGGCCCTCTGCCTGGTTCCCTGTAACTTCGCTTCTCACAGTGAGGGAACCAGAAGGCCCTCGGCACTGAACCTCAGTGTCCGGGCAGAACGATGGGGGTGGAGACGCTCCTTCAGATATACTGGACCGAGGCTTTTGGTATACAGTGGTGCCTCGCAAGATGAAATTAATCCGTTCCGCGAGTCTCTTCGTCTTGCGGTTTTTTCGTCTTGCGAAGCACGGCTATTAGCGGCTTAGCGGCTATTAACGGCTTAGCGGCTTTAAGAAAAAGGAAACAAACTCGCAAGAACTCGCAAGACGTTTCGTCTTGCGAAGCAAGCCCATAGGTAAATTCGTCTTGAGGAACGACTCAAATAACGGAAAACTCTTTCATCTTGCGCGTTTTTCGTCTTGCGCGTTTTTCGTCTTGCGAGGTACCACTGTATTCAGCTCAGTATTGTTAGCATTGGATTTCCTTCATCAGTAGAGGGAAGGACTACATGACTTTGGAGGTCTGTACCAACTCTGTGATCCTACAGTCTATGCCAGGGGTACCTCCAAGCATTGCTGGACCCATCTCCCCTCAACCACAGTCAGTGTGACCGATGCCCAGGGGTGATGGGACCTGCAAGTACAGCAGCAACCTTATCCAGTCCTGCTCCAAACTAAACTAGTCACTAGTCACAGGGACTAGACATAGCTGAAAAGGAGGGATTAGAGAGCCAACGCAATGAAGGCAGAGCCATGCTTCAGAACGTGTGGCACAGAACGTGAGAGGGTGCTCACAGTGTTCTCCTCACTTCTTGCTTTATTACAGGACTGTGAACTCCCCCCTGCCGAGGTTGTTGGACTACAACATCCATCAAGCCCCACACGGGAGGCCAATGGTCAACGGCTCATAGGAACTGTAGTGCAGCAACAATTGGACTCTTATAAGAGGGCAGGAAATGCGAGAACCAACAACCATATAAGCACAGCAATGCTGGCACTCTCCATTGTTAAAATCCCCCCCCCCTTATACGTGTGTCTCCTCCATGAGAGATCCAGAGGGTGGAAACATGAGAACGGGGCCTTTTCTGCTGTGGCTCCCCGTTTGTGGAATGTTCTCCCCAGGGGGGCTCACCTAAACACTTTCGTTACGTATTTTTTGGCGCCAGGTGAAAACATTTCTCTTCAACTAGGCTGATTATTATTCTACAGCTTTTTTAAAATGTGTGTGTGTGTGTGTGTGATTTGTTATTGTTTTATTATGTACAGTTGTACCTTGGTTTTCGAATGCCTTGTGATTCAAACGTTTTGGCTCCTGAACGCCACAAACCTGGAAGTGACTGTTCTGGTCTGCGAAATTTTTTTGGAAGCCAAACATCTGCCGCGGCTTCCGATTGAGTGCAGGAAGCTCCTGCAGCCAATCAGAAGTCACACCTTGGTTTTCGAACATTTTTGGAATTCGAACGGACTTCCGGAACGGATTCAGTTTGAGAACCAAGGTACGACTGTATTCTTATTCTATACTTTTCTGCTGTAAACTGCATTGGGCTCTTTGGATTAAGGGCGGTGTACTCGTTTTATAAATAATAGTAATATTATATGAATGACGGTCACGTCAGCTCCGGCAAACAGACACTCTCTCTCTCTGCTCAAAGCAGACAAGAGAGGCTTAAGGGAGCTCAAAGCTCACCATTTGGCTAGCTGCTAAAGAGATTGCATTTGCCTTGCCTTACAGAGACACTGTCCAAAGAGGGAAGAGCAGAAATGTATACAGTGGTGCCTCGCAAGACGAAATTAATTCGTTCCGCGAGTTTTGTCGTCTTGTGAAGCACGGTGTTGGGAAAGTTTTGGAAAAGCTTCAAAAAGTCTTTAAAAACCTCAAAAAAGGCTACCACACCGCGTTCTATGAGTTACTCCTCGAAGTCAAGTCGCAACTGTATTAACGGTGTTAAGAAAAAGGAAACAAACTTGCAAGACGTTTCCGTCTTGCGAAGCAAGCCCATAGGGAAAATCGTCTTGCGAAGCAGCTCAAAAAACAAAAAACCCTTTCGTCTAGCGAGTTTTTTGTCTTGTGAGGTACCACTGTATATGAATCAACAGCCGCAGGAACAGAATGTAAAGCAATGTTTAAAAAAGGAGCAGCCCAGCTCTCTGCTTTCTCATGCACACACGTGCATTTTAGCCGCTGGCCAGGCTTAGAGCCTTGAGGAAGCACCTGACGTCGTGGCAACAGAGCTGCGGGTCGTGGCGGTCACCGTGGAGTTGCCGCTGAGGCTCAGGCCCAGGCTGCTGACGCTACTCAGGCTTGAGGAGGCGCTGACCACGGGGGGCGCAGCCGAGACGGTGCTGGAGGAGGTGGAGAAAGTGCTTGCAGAAGAATGGAGCCCGGCGTCGCTCTCCACACTGGTGTGCTGCAAAGAAACCAGGAGGGGAAGCAGGGGAAGGGAGGAAGTCAGGATCTGCAAGACGGAGACCAACATGTCCATGTGGAAAAGTCGCATGGCGGAGCAGCAAGGCGCATGTCAGAGCACTGCAGTTCAGCCAGCCACGGGTTCTAGGCTGGATGCATCTGGTTGCGGCTCAGGGGTTTGCTTTCGCACGCTCACCGCCCTCCTGGATAGCTACGGGGCAAGCTAGGCAGGATGTTGGGGGGCATGCACTTTGCAGGCCTCAAACTTAGATGGGAAGCCAAACACAACAGTGACAAGAGATTTACAACCGTACAGATCTACAAACACCAGAAGACAACCTTGCATCTTCTCCTGCTCCTGCATAGCCAAGTCAGGGATGATGGGATCTGAAACTCACCAGTATCTGGAGGGTCACAGGTTCCCCATCCCTGGTTTTAAAAAACAAAGCCTTACAACCCCTTCAGCTCTCGCAGCAGAAGAGGAACGAAGGCAGAGGCGATATGCTTGTTGACAGACTACATGGTTTCAGAATACAGTTATGGGAGCATCTATTTTTAGTATTTCCTCCTCCACACAAAACGCCCCATAGACACACAAGGCTAGTATGTCAGGGAGAATAATATGGGGGGGGGGGACAAAATATTCATTCCCCCCCACAGCATGTAGTCCATATACATCACACAGGGCTCATACTGAATGGGGGGGGGGGGCAGAGAGAAACAAAGGTTTTGGTGCCTTTGTTATATATATTTCGGGGGGCCAAAGAGCAATTGGGGAATAAACCACTAATCTTGCACAAGCAGTTCTGTCTGCCACATGACAAGCAGTGCAACTCCCTGGCCTACTTTCCTGAGGTTTATCTAGCATCATTATTTAGCCTCAGTCATATGCTGAAGCCACACCTTTTTACCCAAAGCTCAGAATCACGTTTTGTGACCCACTTAAAAACTGTCAAGTTACCTGATGACTTCTGTGTATGGCTGGTTGGTTTTACTTTGATTTAAAGGGTACTGTTTTGTTGTAATCTACATTGGGACATAATCTAACCAACAACAAAATAAGAAGAGACCTGCAGGATCTGGCCCACGGCCCATCTAGTCCAGCATCCAAGTGGCCAAGCAGTTGCGCCGATGGGAGGCCCACTCTGCTCACATATGGTTCCCAGGAACTGGTTTTCAGAGGCATGTTGCCTTGGTCAATGGGAGGCACAACAACTCCCTCTTGGAAAGCAGAGAGGAATTCTAGTATAACCTCGCATAAATTCAACCAACGGAGCTCTCCTGTGTGCATAAATGTGCTCTTGCCCTTAAAGAGGGAGCAGTCAAAGCAGAAGCAATACCATGCGTGTGACCCAGACAAGGGTACCTGGAAACAGATTGCTGCTGGGTCTTGGGAAGACAGACACAAGCTTGCACTCCAAGCCCACTAATAGGCACCTTCGGCACCAAAACCTTATTTTCCCCTCTCATTCCCTCTACTCACCAAGAGAGTGGAAGTTGACGTGCGGCCAGCAGAAGTCGAGGAGGAGAGGCTGTTCTGAGGGGTGGGTAACGTGCTGTGGGGAGAGAGGGAAGGGAACGCTGGTCAGCCCACAGCCAAATGGCTGGCAATGCCCTGTGCCTGGCCTTTTCCATTTAACTTGACCTTTACAGAGGCTTTGGTGCTATTCCATTGGTCCCCCCCCCTTTTTTTAAAAATAATAATAATTAAATTTATATGCTGCCTTCCATCCAAAGATCTGGGGGCAATTTACTTTATTTCCGTAGTTGTTTTAAAAACAGCTTGTTTTTAAATGGAATAAAACTGAACACACGACAGGCAATGCAGGGTTGTTTTCTTAGGTGCAAAATACAGATCCTCAACTTTACTGCAAAAGGAGGTTGCTAGCCCTCATGACTGAGCTTGAGAAAGCTGGGCCCAAGGTCTATCAAATTCCAGGGGTGGGGAACAGAAGATATTCATCTCCTCACCCCCTACCCTGACATCTGCCATGGCACCAGGTGACTCAACTTCAAAGAAAAGCACACCATTGGGGGGCGGGATTGGGGTCAGTTCTGAGGCCCCCCTGCTGCTACCTGCTGTGTTGCGTGGTGGCCGTGCTGGGGAGCTCCTCCGTGTGGTTCAGGCTACTGAGCACCGAAGAGTGCTGGGTGGCCGTGGTGAGCAAGGATGCTGCGGACACAGTGTCGTTGAGAGGGGTCGTGATGCTGGGGGCAGAGGGGGAGTCCGATTTCACAGCGGGGCCTGCAGAACCTGGGGGGGGGGGCAAGTTTGAAATAACGAGAGAAACACAGAGTTAAGGCGCAGATCACCCAAGCAAAACTTCTTCCCCCCTTCCCCTTGCAAAATTTGAAGCAGCATAGAAAGCAATGTTCAAAGGGCAAAAAACCAAGATATAATACACAATTACTGTTTTATAATTTATGATAATTTAGAATTTAAATGTATTTTCATGTAATGTTTGATACTTCCAGCTGATGAAGGTGAATACATCGAAACAGGGCCGTCCTGGTTTCTGATCCATAATTGACTTCTGCTCAATGATTGAAACTAAGACCTTCAGGTCGAATCTGACTATGGACTAACATAAACTTATCTCTACTCATAAACTCTTATCTCTAATTCTGTAACGAATTATTGTGTTATACATATCCTTATGAGCTTGAGTTTGTAATCCTTGTCAGAATACATACTTTTGAATGGATTAGTTTTTTTTACAATTGACTATTGATTTGCAAGTAGGGACTACTCCCACTACTGAAACTTATATTGGCCAGAGTCCTTGGTGTGCTTTTTTCAAGATACAATACACGTCAAGTCCAGCCCAGCGCCCTGTTCTCAAAGGCGCCAACCAGATGTCTGCTAGGGGGCGCCTGCAAGCGGGAGCAGAGCGTGCCGCAGGTTCGCCAGCCCTGCTTGCTGCACAAGTTCTTTGCGAGCTCAGCTCGTTTCTTCCCCCCTCCCCAACCGCAGGCATGCTGGAGAGGCACTGACCTTCGGCTGTCTGCGTGGTCTGCAGCTGCGTGGGCGGCACCGAGTTGAAGCCGTTCTGAGAAGAGAAAGAGAGAGGGAAAGAGAAGTCAGCTGCCGTTGATACAGAAATACACATTCGGTGCACAGATCAAGCATCGGCCCCACCCCAGCCAAGTACCCTGCTCTCAAACACCTCCCTATTTTAAAAGACTAGGATCCGTTAAAGGTTTCTAGTAGCAATGCTCATCATAGACAGTGGTCAAGCTATGAATTACTTGATGCTTTGAATGTGAGACCCAAAGGCATCCACTATTCCCCATATTCTTTCTAGGCCAGGGGTGGGGAAGCTGCAGCCATCCAGATGTTGCTTGGACTACAACTCCCATCATCCTTGACTGTCAATCCTGATGGGAGTTGTAGCCCCAGCAACGTCTGGGAGGACGGCAGATTTTTGTCAGCAGTGGCCTGGGCTTTCCTTCTTCCCCCGAAGAAGAGCGCTGACAACCGTCCGCCAGATGCCTCTGAGAAGACAGAAAGTGGGAGATGAAGGCTACTGCCTCTGCCCCACACAAACTGGCAAGAGTATCAGGGATAGACTGTCCGTAAAAATGGAGGGTTTCCTCTAAACATTGGAAGACCTCGCCTCTGTGAATTTGCTTAACCTTCTTTCAGAGTTCTCGAAACTTGCGAGGCAATTTCACGTTCTGCGAAGGTTTTATCCTAGTCCAAAAGAGACCAGAGTTTTCCACAGGCTGCCATGCTGATCATCATCGCTGTCGTGTTGTTAATAAGGCCCCATCTTAACAGAGCACTCGGGGACAAAGCTTACCTTGGCCTGGGTCAAGTCTTTTTGGGGCGAGGAGGAAATGGAGTTTGGGTACCGCCGGGTCTGAGTGGATCTCTGCTCGTACAGTGGTCCCTGAGCGCTGTTCTGGGAGGTATATGTTGCTGTAGGCATGGTGCCGCTCTGGTAACCCGGCTCCTGGCTCTTATTGGACGAAATCGTGGACAGAGACTCGCTGCAGGTGAAGAAGGGTCAGGAGATTTCAGCACGCAAACTGCCAATGGGCTCCTGCCAGTGGCTTGCAAGAGGCGGCTTCCACCAACTAAGCCTCCTAGAGCATGGGTCGGCAAACGAAGACCCAGGGCCCGGATCCAGCCCTATTACCTTCTTGATCCAGCCTGCGGACGGTCTGGGAGTCGCCGCATGGATCGGTGTGGGGATTCTGATCGTTCAGGCTGCGCCATTCCCCTCCCACACGCAACTGCCGCGGCGACTCCTCCCTCCCTCCTCCTGGCTTCTCCCCGCCCTGCCTAGAGGAGGAAGAGGGCTGGGCTTTGTTGAGCTGTTGGCTGAGGGCCATTTTAAGCAGCCCCTCTCCAGAGCCAGCCCTTTCGCGCTGCTCATCGTCCTTCCGGCCCTGCCGCTCGCAAGGCACAGGTAAGTAGCCACTGGGGCTCGTCTGGTGCTGTGGAGAAGGGAGGGGGGAGTCGGTGGGGGGATTCCCCCCCCCTTCAAAATATAGTCTGGCCGCCCACAAGGTCTGAGGGACAGTGGACTGGCCCCCTGTAGAAAAAGGTTGCTGACCCCTGTACCAGAGCAAAACATATACAAGGAGGCTTAGTTTGGTCAGAATTGAGTCCACACTTCCAGAGTTAACACTAAACACATCGCTCCTGGAAAAAGAGCCACCACAGATGCTAGAGGGCCATGAAAATTTGTGTCCTGGGTTTTTTAGATTTATCTACCCATGTACTAGGGACGAGGGTGGTGCTGTGGGTTAAACCAGAGCTTAGGGCTTGCCGATCAGAAAGTCGGCAGTTCGAACCCCTGTGACGGGGTGGGCTCCCGTTGCTCGGTCCCAGCTCCTGCCAACCTAGCAGTTCAAAAGCACGTCAAAGTGCAAGTAGATAAATAGGTACCACTCCAGCGGGAAGGTAAACGACATTTCCGTGCGCTGCTCTGGTTCGCCAGAAGAGGCTTCGTCATGCTGGCCACATGACCTGGAAAGCTGTCTGTGGACAAATGCCGGCTCCCTCGGCCAATAAAGCGAGATGAGTGCCGCACCCCCAGAGTCGTCTGTGACTGGACTTAATTGTCAGGGGTCCCTTTACCTTTTAACCATGTACTATCTGAAACCAAAGGGGCTCATTGGTTGCCAGATGTGAAATTTACGAGCACTATTTTCATCTCTCTTACCCCACTAAGGGGGTCTTTTTTGCAGCCCAACATAGAGACGCCACTGAGGGTTGTGCCTGGGACCTTCTGCTTGCCAAGCTGTCTCCCACTTAAGCTAAGACCCCCCAAAGACAATGGCAACAGGCTCCTCTCACCTTGCAGTACTCGTATACAGGCTGCTCGGAGGCTGGCTGACGGAGGCGCTTGTTGCGGGGGCAGGCTCGTACTCCGAGAGGACAGGCTCCGAACCGAACTGCAACGCCCCAAACTGCAAGTTGAGCCCCGAGATATCCGCAGAGCCGGGCATCTCCACTGCCAGAGCGGGAATCTGAGGAAGGAGAGGTGGCCTGATGAGCTGCCGACATGCAACCTGAAATTGGTGTTCCTGCTCTCAAACTGGCAAACCCTGAAGAGCGGAGGCTGCCAAGGCTTTCCACTTCCTTCTGTGGCAGAGGGTGTGCCTGGGTTTCAATGTCGCCTTTAGAGGCTCAGGGTTGTTGCATTTTTAAAATTATCACCAGCATCGCTTAATTGCTAAAAGAGTGCCACGCTTCCAAGCTGCAACAACAAAAAACTAGTTCTAAAAGTAACAGGGTGTACAAAGAACTAAAAGCAATGAACAGCTGTATTATCAGCGTTCTACTTAGTAGTACAGTATATCAATAAACCCACCCCCGTTTTCCCATGGATATATTAGGGTTTTGATTCAACTGCATCTAATCATATTGAGCCGCGGGGATAGGGTGATATTCAAATTTAATCAATAGAATAACAAATAATCTAATGATTTTCACCACTGCCCGTTTTTCTCGTTCCTTTCAAAGGTTGCAGATGGTGAATTTCCCCCACCCCCGTCAGACGCGAGGTCTTGAACAACAGAATCACGGAGCTGGAAGGGACCCCAAGGGTCATCTAGTCCAACCCCCTGCAACGTAGGAAACTTAAGATTAAGAGTCACATGCAGATGCTGGGGGCTGAATCGGAGACCTTGTGCACACGAAGCAGCTGCTCTACAACTGAGATTCCACCCTTGCCCAATACAATATATGAGTCATCATCATCCTAATTATCATTTATTTATACCCCACCCATCTGGCTGGGTTTCCCCAGCCACTCTGGGCGGCTCCCAACAGAATATTAAAAACACGAGGAAACATCAAACATTAAAAACTAATCAGGACTGCCTTCAGATGTCTTCTAAAAGTCAGATAGTTGCTTATCTCCTTGACATCTGATGGGAGGACGTTCCACAGGGCGGGCGCCACTGCCGAGAAGGCCCTCTGCCTGGTTCCTAGTACCCTCACTTCTCGCAGGAAGGGAACCAGCAGAAGGCCCTGTGTCTGGGCTGAATGATGGGGGTGGAGACGCTCCTTCAGGTACACTGGGATGAGGCCATCTACAGATTCAGACCACTGGGTCCACCAAGCTCATTAGAATAGCCTCTGACGCTCCACTCCTGAGCTACGGGCCCCTTCCCGCTCACCTGCCAAGTTCATTGGGCCCTCTAGGGGGCTGCCTCAAGCCTAAGCCCCACGCCGTGCAGGATGGGAAATTCTTGCGTACCTTTGATGTCAAGGACGCTTTCTTCTTCTGCTGCTTCATCTTCTGCTGGGCTGGCTGGGGGCTGGAGGACTGGTTGTCCGAGGAGCCCGGAGACATCTGGGGGACGGGGTTGGTTTTGCTGGCCAGGGGGGACGACGGAGGCGGCGGGGCCGTGACGGACGCTGTCACCACAGGCTGCTTGTCCTGCAGGAACACTTCCATCATGGCGGAGGTGGGCGGGAAGGCCTGGCGTTTGGCAAACGGGCTGTGCACAGCGGATTCCGACGGGTTCTTCAAATCTGCGTGCCGGAGACGGAAGGAGGGTGGTCAAGCCCAGGACAGGAAACTCCTGGTTCCTCCTCCTTACAAAGCACCTGTGTATTAACCTATACCTTTGCCCCACCCACACCAACCTCTGGCTGCACCTATTATTAGCATGCAGCCCCCAGGCTGAAAAGTTTCCCCAACCCTGGTTTTAGACGCAGCAGGATTTGGAATAAAAACCTTGTTTGTTTGATCACCACAGGCGGTCAGTCAGCTACCACAGATGCAGGACTGAATTTGCTGATGATGCCAAGACTTGCTATAGCATACGCTGTCCCCCCTTTATAGCTATGAGGGAGCCAGAAAGGGTCTACTGGTACGCAGCTCACACTAAGGCAGGAGGAATGTGCAGATTTAAAAATCAGTGAGAAAATAAAGCTCTCTGTCAGTAGTACAAATCTGACCACTAAACCCATGTTGATTTAGGGTATTACTTTTACCAGGAATACTTGTTTTTATTCAAAAAACATGGCTTTTTAAAAAAATAATAATTTCATAGCATACTTTAGCAGGCATTTCGAGGTAGTTTTTATGGTGAATTTTAACTGATCTTATACTTGGTCTGGTTTTTCTTTTTAATGTTTACATACACCCATTAGAAATTATGAATTATTACATAATTATACAGACACCCGAAATGATGTTACAAAATCTACTGCTAAATGAAGAAATGACTATGGGCTGTTTGCTGTATGCAACACTAATCCTACTTAAAGCAGACCCACTGCATAATAATGGAGATATTGGTCTTTTCTGCGTATGATTTTAGTTGGCAGCAATCCTAGGTTTGTAGGGAAGTGTGCAAATACTCAATTTTTCATAATGTTTTTATTTTCAAGGTACAGAAGCTAAATTTTGAGAAAACAATTGTTACAACAGTAAACAACAAATAATTTGTCCTGATGAAATTACAATTTTTTTCATGCCAGGTATAAAGTTTCATTTGATAGTCTAAGAGATCACACTGCATTTTCCCCATGAGTGCTAGGTAGATTCCTGCCACAGTCTGAACAATTTATGTATTCAATAAACATTTGCCATCTGTTATAAAAGGAAAGTGGATTGCGTTTGCCCTTTGTCGCTCTCACCTGGCATGTTAGTTTCTCAGCCAATGCTGACTCTGTCAAACCAAGAATCAATATTCAACCCAACACTGGTTTTCCAATACCTGGCTATCTCCATACGGGCCGCAGTCAACAGAAAGGCTAAGAGGTGATTCTTTAGGATAATTATGAGCAGATGGGATCCTAAGCCCAAGTAGTGCTAGCGCAGGGGACATTTCAATTGTTTTGTCGTAGAGCTTCCTCAATTTACACTAGAATGCGGCAATCTATTGTACACAAAAATGTTGAGGGAAATGGACCTAGATGTGCGAATACCAAATGAAAAATGGAATGGCTTTCTGGTCTGGGAGACCGATGAAATCAGTTTCTGCAAAAATATTCAAATTTGAGAAATGCTCATTGACACAGAAAAAAGCCTCAATAAACTCAGTGTATCTGGTAGAGGAACTAGTTCAGTTTAGTGATAAGTAGTAGGGCTAACATGCTTCTATCTAGATTACTTAAAATGAACCAATTATTGCTTAGGACAAAAATCTTAGCACTCATAATTCTTAAAAAATATATTTTTAATCTTTTTTTTTTAAATTCCACCCTGGCCTCTAAGGTCAGTTCAAAGGCTTTGACAAACCGTACCACCAGAGGTGCAGGGCAAGAGTGTTTTAGTGGTTAAGAGTGCCAGACTAGGACCTGGGAAAGACGAGGGTTCAAATCCCCGCTCAACCATTAAACTTGTTGCCTGGGACCTTGGGCCAGTCACTGCCTCTCGGCCTCACCAACCTCACAGAGTTGTTGTGGGGGATTAAATGAGGGGGGGGGCAGAGTGCAGCTCCTTAGAGGCAAAAAGAAGGTGGGATATAAATGCGAAATAAATAAGCGTTCTTTACAGATTTAATTCTGGCTGCTGGAGTGGCCAGATATGGAGGTAGGTATACAGTGGTACCTTGAACGTAATCCATTCTGGGAGTCTGTTCGACTCCCAAAACCGTTCAAAAACGAAGGTGCGGATTCCGATTGGCTGCAGGAGCTTCCTGCACTCAAACGGAAGCTGCGTCAGACGTTCGGCTTCTGAAAAACGTCCGCAAACCGGAACACTTACTTCCGGGTTTGCGGTGTTCGGGTCCTGATTTGTTCGACAACTAAGCTGTTCAAGAACCAAGGTACCACTGTAGAAGAAGAAGAAGAAGAAGAAGAAGAAGAAGAAGAAGAGAAGGAGGAGTTTGGATTTGATATCCCGCTTTATCACTACCTGAAGGAGTCTCAAAGCGGCTAACCTTCTCCTTTCGCTTCCTCCCCTACAATAAACACACTGTGAGGTGAGTGGGGCTGAGAGACTTCAGAGAAGTGTGACTAGCCCAAGGTCACCCAGCAGCTGCATGTGGAGGAGCGGGGAATCGAACCCGGTTCCCCAGATTACGAGTCTACCGCTCTTAACCACTACACCACGCTGGCACTGTACTAAGAAGCAGTTATTAACTCAACAAAAGATCCTCAAGCAGATTCAGGATTTGGGGGCATTCAGAGCAGCCATGCCAGGGCTGCAACAGTGAACTGCGCATTCCAACACTCTCCCCATCCACAAGACTCCTCCAGCCTCCAGCTGCCCCCTTCCACCTTACCGTACTGCACGAGAGACGAGGAGTGGCTCGTGGTGCCGCTGTCCCAGGACGTGGCCGCGCTGCTGCTCCCGGATGGCTGAGGATGCTGAGCTGCCAGCTGAGCCAACGCCTGGGCCGTCTTGAACTGCTCCAGGAACTGCGAGCCGGTGGTGGTGGTGGCAGCGGAGGCAGAGACTGCGGTGCCTCCGCCGCCGCTTTTGGCCTCGCCGACGTCGCTGAACCCCTTTCCCAGCATGCCGACCTGAAACGGCAGGAAGGGAAGGCCGGCTGAAGCAGGCGCATGGCGGCTTTGGCTGGGCAAAACAACGCAGCAGCCCCAGATGGGGACCAAGAGGCTGAACTCTTCTAAATACAACACGTGCACGGCCGCAAGGTTCAGAGGCTTGTCCATTTCCTTACCATGCCGTGGTGCGGGAAGGTGTTCCCCGAACTGGGCTGGGATATAGGAGCCTGCTTGGAATTGCTGAACACCAGCGGCTGGCTGAGGGCAGGTGCCTGCGAGGAATCCAGGTTGGGCGACTCGTTCTCCAGAGAAGAAGGGGTCTTTCCTAGCAGCACAGCAAGGTCGATTCTAGGAAGGAGGCAGAAGCGTCACCGTGAGCGAGGGGCTGGGTGAGTGGCCTGGCCGGCCCACCACTGTTCCTGCACCAAAAGGGATGCCCCATGCCAGGGCTAAAGCTAACAAAATGAATTTCAATAGGATCAAATGTCAGGTTCTGCACTTGGGGCAGGAGGAACCAGCTGCATAAATGTGAAGATGGGGGGCACACCTGGGTTTCCAGTAGTACATGTGAAAAGGGTCTAGGGATCTTAGTAGACCACAAACTGAGCATGAGTTAACAGCGGCAAAATAAGCCAATGCTATTCTGGGGTGCATCAACAAAAGTACAGTGGTACCTCTGTTTGCGAATGGGATCCGTTCCGGAAGCCCGTTCGTAACACGAAAAGAACACAACCCACAGCAGCGCATCTGTGCACACGCGGATTGCAATTTGCCGCTTCTGCGCATGCATGTGATGTCATTTTGCGCGTTTGCGCAAGTGGCGAAACCCGGAAGTAACCCTTTCCGGTACTTCTGGGTCGCCACGGGACGTAACCTGAAAGAACGTGACATGAAGCGGACATAACATGAGGCATGACTGTATAGTGTGCAACTCCAGGAAGATAACAGTACTGCTCTATTCTGCCCTGGTCAGACCACACCTGGGGTTCTGTGTTCAGTTATGGGCACCACAGTTTAAGAAGGATGTTGACATGCCGGAACGTGTGCAGAGGAGGGCAATCGAGATGATCAAGGATCTGGAAACCAAGCCTTATGAGGAACAGTTGAAGGAACTGGGTATGTTTAGCCTGGAAAGGAGGAGACTGGGAGGAGATATGATAGCTGTCTCTTTAAATATCTCAAGGGGGGTCACATGCAGGATGGAGCAACCTTGTTTTCTCCTGCTCCAGAAGGTATGACCTGAAGCAATGGATTCAAGCTGCAAGAAAGGAGATTCCAACTAAACATCAGGAAGAACTTTCCGATGGTTAAGAACTGTGGAATGGGCTCTCTCTCTCGGGAGGTGGCGGAGTCTCCTTCCTTGGAGGTTTTCAGCAGAGGTTGGATGGCCACCTGTCACGTATGATCTAGCTGAGATTCCCTGCATTGAAGGGGGTTGGACTAGATGACCCTCAGGGTCCCTCCCAACTCTACAATTCTTTGATCTGCTTGTGCACAGAATTACTGTGCAGTGCAGAATCAGGCAGGGCTGGCAGAGGATCTTGGGCATACCAGCAGGCTGCTGAGGTGGCTGGATGCATCTGATGCCGCCTGCGCCAACATGGATGTTTTGGATTACATTTCCCAGCAGCCTGTGTTAACCCAGCCATCGGCGGTGGCTGCTTTAGTCTCTGATCTGGCATCCACAGTGGATTTGCTCGTGTTCAGTGCATGCTACAGTATGGTCCTGGGAAGCAGATGCACACAGAAACCCGGGCACAAAAGACCTTACACCTCGGGGAGAAAGTTGTGGGTTTTGTGTTGGGTTTTTGTTTTTTTGCTTTTCAGGCAGAGGGACGCCCCTTCTGGGGGCCACATCGTAGAGCTTCGGCAGGGCCAGAGGCAAATGTGGACAGAGCAAGGAATGTTGATTTTCCCTCTGTGCAGCAGCCTAGTTTTTACACATGCAACCCTATCTCTATCCTCCATCCTGGGAAGCAAAAACAGCTTTATCAGAGCTCAAGGACACATTCCAGCCAGACAAAAAACTCCCAAGAAGAGCGCAAAGGAGGACTGATGGTGAGGAATGTGCCTCTGGATGTTGTGCAATCTGGGGGGGTGGAAGAGTCCCAAGGGCCAGATGGAGAGGACTCAAGAACTGCATTGGTAGGAGCCAGTGCAACAATTGGTAGGAGTCAGCTTGGGGGACGGGAGCAAGAAAACCCAGAACAGTACATGGGACGGTGAGAGAAGCAGTAAGATTGTTCTATTTGGCAAGCAGAATGGCTTCCGTTGATGGAAGGATCGTAATAGCACACCTCTGAATTCTTCCCAGGGTGGCCTGACACAGCCCTGCCTGACCTCTAGTCATACAGTGGTACCTCGGGTCACATATGCTTCAGGTTACATACACTTCAGGTTACAGACTCCGCTAACCCAGAAATAGTGCTTCAGGTTAAGAACTTTGCTTCAGGATGAGAACAGAAATCGTGCTCCGGTGGCACGGTGGCAGTGGGAGGCCCCATTAGCTAAAGTGGTGCTTCAGGTTAAGAACACTTTCAGGTTAAGTACGGACCTCTGGAACGAATTAAGTACTTAACCCGAGGTACCACTGTACGGCCAGGGCTGAAGTGAGTTGGAGAGTCCAGCAACATCTGGAGGACTACAGGCCTGTCCGCCACATCCTGGCTAGGGAAATGGTTGTTTGCTTTCTTCCCCTGCTCTCTCCCCCAGCCCCGCCACCAAAAAGAAACTCATTTCTAAACTGAAACCCAGCTACTGTGGCAGGCGCAAATGGACCACCTCTGTCCAGCCGTGATGGTCACATTTTCCGCAGGCAGAGGCACAGAGGAGACGTTGGAGGCAGTGAAGATCTTGGTCTCTGAAAGCTGGGGAAGGAAAGGAGAGGCAGGAAGTTAGTTAGGGTGATCCCAAGTCAGAGAAGGCAAAGTGCACACAGAAAGGGAAGCGACGCAAGAGCTGGGTTGTACCTACATCTTCATTCCAGTCCTCGGTCCCCCATTCCTCCGTCGCCGTCCTCCACGCACCTGGCAAAGAACAAAGCAGAGAGGGGGTTTGGTACAAGCGGATCCTGGGTGCTTCCCGGGAAAAGGGGGTGATTTTCAAGAAGCATTGCAAGCAGCTAAGCAGGTTGGTGCCCCTCGCCCAGACAGACACAAGCTTGGGGTGGGGGGAGGGGGGAGAGGAGGAAAAATATGGGCACACCACGCAAGCTCCCCCACCCACTGAACCCCAAAGCAAAGAGGCTGGACCCTGGAATCACTGTGGGGAAAAGAGATGTCTTCCTTGACCCTGTCCTGAAACTCTCTTCCCTTAGGAACAAACGGTGATGGACAGCCCTACTGATATTCTACATGCCCCCTGCCCAGTTCCACTGCTCTCTTGCAATCAAATGTGGCATCTCTCCACCCTCCTCCTGCCACTGCCCCTCCCCAAAGTCCTGCAAAAGCCCAATTTTCCCAGAAGATCGCAGCCACCAGGTTAGGATCAGTGCAAAATGGTCAAGTCAACGGAAGGTTTCGTTTGTGCATACCTGTGTGTTCATACGGATTTATAAACTGCTTAATTACAAGCGTCTAAGCAGTGTATAAATAACTCAATACTACACGATGCTCGTGCATCCTGCAAGAGACTTGCTCAGATGTCTCCCCCTGCAAAAATTTGCTTTCAGCCCTATGAAAGCGAAGGCGGGTCTTTTACCGTCTCAAAGTAAAAAAGCCCCCTGCCCCCCCTGCTGCTGTTCAGGTCACTTCCCTGTTCCTTGAAATCTTCATTTATTGACTATGGGCATTTAAAAACATGCATACACTCTGCTGGCTCCTGAAGGCGTGTTTTGCTTTTTAAAAAACCCACATAGCGCCATTAGCCAAAAGTGCAAGGGAAAAGATATGAAGACTTGAAACTGGGGGAAAAAGAAAACTCTGCAAGGCACTACAGCTGGGAGTTGGACCGGGGAGACTTGAAGCACGCACCGCCCCCAGCTACGTTTCTCAGGCATGAAGCTCGTCGAGAGACCTTGGAGCAGTCCCACACTTTCTCTCAGTCTAATCCAGGTGCGTAACCCCCGGGGGCCCCCAACTCCCATCAGCTCCAGCCAGCACGGCCAAGGGCCAGAGATGATGCAAGCTGGGAGTCCTGCCTCCCACGTCCCCCACCTCCCCAATATGCTCTGGGGTTTCTTCCAGCCCCCCCCCCAAAAAAGTAGAACAAGGGGGCGTGCCAGGAGAAATTCCACTGGGCCAGCTCGAGCGGTTTTACTTGCACAAGACCTTCACTAGATTCAACACCCTGTCAGCATTCACCAAATCTGCAGAAGTCTGCACATACTTGGTCCCTGGATGGCTAGCAAACCCGACTTGTGTAGCAGGACTGCTTCCTCTTCATAGTCCATTCCCCCCCCCTACTCTGCACCCGCAAGTCAGGCTATCGGTGAGTTTTTTAGAAGTTGCAGAAGGGGATTAACTCAGGATCTCTTCATGGTCAAGTGATCCCTAACCTGTCTTCAGTGATCCCAAGTCTGCGCTCTTGCTTAAGAACATAAGAAATGGCCTCACAGCATCAGACCAAGGCCTTGCCCAACTTTCTCTGCAAGAAATCTCAGCTGCCTGCCAGCAACTGGCCAGCAACCCACCAGGAGGTTGTAAGAACCCACCAGTGTTAACTACCCACCAGTTGGAACTGCAAACGAACCATCTGTAGATCTTGAGGAAGGCGTTGCAGCAGAAATTGCCTCATCACTGGCTCCCCAGAAGGCCAATTAGATGGAACCTCTGTGTTTAGAGGCAGTGTATTGGTGGATGCCAGATACTGGGGGACTGTCACCTTCAGTCCCACTTGTGAGAGCTCAACAGAGGCACCTAGCTGGTCCCCATCCCCAAAAAAACCCAGAAATATAGATGGACTCCTTGGTCTGAACTGACAAGGCCATTCTGAGCTTATGTCCCAAGGAAACTTGGCCTTCGAATCAAGATGCAAGAGCTTTAAAGAGCCAGGAGAGGGGAACCACAACAGGGGCAGCCACAGCCGGTGGAGGGTGCAATCAAAACAGCCAGGAAAGCAAACTCATCTCCCCACCCCCACCAAACACAGAAAAACACAACACATGGAAGCCCAAACCCCGCCTCCCCTCAAAAACACAGAGGTGTGGGGAAGGCGGGGTGGGGTGGGGTGTCAGTGTTAGTAAAAGCACAGGCAAGAACGTACACATATTCATTAAATGAAACCAAACCAAGATGGAAAGAGATGGAGGAGGGCAGGGGTTGTGGAGTGGGAGGAACGAGACAATGACATATCCACAGATATATTCCAACTTATAAATAAAGAGATCCCGGGCAATTAGTGCACCTGGATTTCTCGTACCAGGAGCAGTGTCAAATTTTCGGGGATAATTTGACCCCTCACCCCTAATGTAATCAACTCCTGAAAAGAAACAGAAAAAAAAGAAAAAGAAAAAAAAAGAACGGGGTAAAAACAGTGAAAACGGTTTTGTATTCTAAGAAATGAGAAAAGCGAGGCGATTCTGCCGCTGCTGCTGCTGCCGCCACCCCCTTCCCCACCCCAAGACTACTCTGCCGCCCACCATACCTGTGGATATTGTTAAAATTAAAAAAATATACTTAATACTACAAACTAATCATGGGAGTATGAAATGAGGAGTGCGTTCTGTAGACACTGTGGACAAGTAAACCCTCCTTGGGGGCCAATGAAAAGGGTCGTCCCCTTCCAGCGACAACTTTTAACGGTCCCCCTTTCTTAGCTCAGGACACACAAAGAACGGCGGGATCTACTTCCAAGAGAAAAGTTAAGACACTGCAGTTCTCTCCCCGCTTCTACATTTCTACTGCACACCCAGGTAAGGGAACCTTCCCTCAAAAACCTCAAGTGGTCTTTTGGTCCAACCAGAAAGACACTGTTGTCTTCTTCTATGGAGGAAGGCCAGAGCTCAGAGGCAAGGTTCAATCTCCAAGGGCATTTCCAGGTAGGACTGGCAGAAAGGCCTCCCTCTGCCTGAAACCCTGGGAGGGGGTTGCCTGCCGGTCAGTGTAGACAGTACTGAGCTAGATGGACCAGGATTTCCCAAACTTGGGTCTCCCTACTGTTTTTGAGCTACAATTCCCATCATCCCTGACCACTGATCCTGCTAGCTAGGGATGATGGGAGTCCAAAAACAGCTGGAGACTCAAGTTTCGGAAGCTCTGGTCTAAGCCGTTACAAGGCAGCTTCCTGCATTCAACACTTCAGTTCCCTGAAGTTATGCTGTTGCTGAAAGAGATGAAAAGGGTGTGCAGTGGAACGGTGGGTGGAGAATATGTTTCTTCCCTTTCTTGGGAAACCTTCATTAAAATCATAGGCTGGCAGACCCAACTCACCCCTGCCCAGTGGAGGTTAACCACCACATTCTAAAGACCAGGGGGAGATGATGGGATGCACTTAGATGATGCTGAGACTCCCAGCTCCCACCAGCCCCGGCCAGTGTGGCTAAAGCTCAGGGAAGATAGGAGCTGGGAGTCCAGAGGCTTGCAGGGTGCCACAGGCTCTCCAACCCTGCACTAGGACTTGCCAGCGAGACCCTCAAACTCCAATGCAACTTTCCCCACAGGTTTTGCAATTGAAAATACTAAAACAGATCAGAAGCGCTTAACGTGGATTGTGACTGCGACCCAAAGCAGTTTTAAACTGAAATAAAACCAGCCATTTTTTTACAGCATCAAGCACAAGTAAAATGGCTGGGTTTAATGGCATGATGGGGAAACTGGATAGCCATTAAGTGGCTCTAAAGGTAAAGGGACCCCTGACCATTAGGTCCAGTCGTGGCCGACTCTGGGGTTGCAGCACTCATCTCACTTTATTGGCCGAGGGAGCCGGCGTATAGCTTCCGGGTCATGTGGCCAGCATGACTAAGCCGCTTCTGGTGAACCAGAGCAGTGCATGGAAACGCCATTTACCTTCCCGCCGGAGCGGTACCTATTTATCTACTTGCACTTTGAGGTGCTTTTGAACTGCTAGGTTAACAGAAGCAGGGACCGAGCAACGGGAGCTCAGCCGGTCGCGGGGATTCGAACTGCCGACCTTCTGATCGGCAAGTCCTAGGCTCTGTGGTTTAACCCACAGTGCCACCCACGTCCCTATGATTAAGTGGCTCTAGGTGGCAGAATTGGGTGACTTCAATCACACAGGGGCATGGCTGGTCATCGCTCAGCGGCAGGGCAGGTACTGGGAATGGTGGTTCTCTCCCCCCACCCACAGTCTCCATTTAAAACAGTGTTTTTCAAACTTGGGTCCCCAGCTGTTGTTGGTCTACAGCCCCCATCATCCCTGATCACTGGTCCTGCTAGCTAGGGATGATGGGAGTTGGGTTCCCAGCTGTTGTTGGACTACAGGTTTGGGCAGTGTTGACATAAAGGGATCTCTGGGGAAGATGTCTACCTGCAACACCCAGAGTGCTGTTGCCAACCAGCCTAGGCAATACTGGGATGGCTGGACCAACAGGCTGACTTGATAAAATGCAACCCTTTATGTTGAAGAATGGCAAGCTGTATTGAAGGGGACCCACTTGCTGGCCTTTTTACTGACAGGAGCTGAACTCTGGCCCCAAACTGCGGCAGCACAATGCGCCCAGGTCACTTACTCGTGCCGTCGTCCGGCTCAAAGCTCCCGGTGTTGTTCCATGTATTGCTGTTACTGTTCCCGTAGCCTTCTTCCGTGCTCGTGGGCTCGGCATAGTCCGCAGGGTTGAAAGTTCTGGAAGACAGGGTGGGTGAGGAAAGGGGAATTTGAGCGTACATCTCAAGGGCACGTCTGTCCTGCTTTGACCCTTTAGTCTCTTCCCTCCCCCTATCCAGGCCACAGGTGAGTGTCATCTGGTCACAGATAAACTCCCTTCCTCTGCCCATCCCGCCCAAGATTAGAGTTAAGACAAAGGCTGCGAAGCTTACCCCATGCCTTGGGCTGAAAACCTTCCTCCCCGCCTTCCAGATCCACCTGCAACAACAAAAAAACAGGCAGCTTTAAACCTTACTGGACCCAGGATACACCTCCAGGTAAACTAAACCAGATTTTTAAAAGTCTTCTATCTTCACCCATCTCGTTTTCCCCACCAATTTCACTCCTTTGAACCAAGGATGGGACTACAACTTCCATCATGCATCGCTGATGTTGGTTGGGGATGATATAAGTCAGCCCCGCCCCAACAACTTTGGGGGGCAGAGACAGAGGGCCCCCAGCCTTGCTTTAAAGCAAAACACAAATGAGCCTACTGATACAACCACCCACCTTGTAGGTACCCAATTGAGACTGAGAGCTGGACTAGTGCCAGACTTCAAATCCACAATGAAGGTGGGAGAACGTGGGATATTCTAGATGTGGAGAACCTGCGACCCTCCAGTTATTGGGCTCCCAACTCTGACCATCTGCAGCAGGCATGGCTGAGGGCCAGGGTTGAGGGGCACTGTGGCCCCCAGAAGGTTCCCTATGTGGGAATGAAACTTCAACTTCCCCTGCCTGGTTTCAGGTGCACTCGCATTAGGAATCGAACACCTTGTTTGTTTGATCACCGGAGGCGGCCCGTCAGCTATCACAGCTGCAGGACTCAGTTGGCCAACGATGCCAAGACTTGCTGTAGCATACGCTGTCCCCCCTTTATAGCTATGAAGGAGCCAGAAAGGGTCTACTGGTATGCAGCCCACAGTATGGCAGGAGGGATGGATTTAAAGGCACTTTAAATCAGGATTTATTTATTCTTTGTCTGTCCTGAGTCTTCCGACGTTTGTTTGATGAGCCTGAATTCTAGTGCTAAGAGAGGAAAACCTCTCTAGGTCAACTTCCTCCACACCATACTTAATTCTATACACCACTCAATCACCTGATTTTATGGTCTTACAAAGAGTGCATCTGATCCATCCTGTTCTCAAAGCGGACAAGCTAAGCAAGGGAAGCCTGAAAGTCTCACTTTCCACACCTGATTCCCAGAAACAGGTTATCAAGAGACAGCCTGCCTCCGACAGTATGGGGAGAAAACAGCCACCGTGCCAAGTAGCCACTGGCAGCAGTATCCTCCATGGTAATTTCCAGTCCTCTTTGTAAAAGCTATCCAGGCTGCTGAGCCACCTCTCTCACCTCTGCCTCGCCCGCGGCCTCGTCGCCCTCTCTCTGTGCCTCTTCCAGTGGGTCCGGCTGTCTTGCCACTGTCCAGTCCATTCTCCTGGCCCCGAACTGGAAGACACAAAACCACACTAGTAAGTTTCCAGTGTGTTGAGTGCATGGGGGGGGGTGCAAGGCTTGAGTGCTGTGCTGAATGAATTAAGGATTCTTGTGCGAGCTGCAGAGAAGCTGGCAGAAGCTGGCTTTGCCAAGGGTTTGCCCTGCCCACCAGGTGCACCCTCTCGGAAGTTCAACCTCTTGCCAGGGGAGAGATGGGCGGTGACAATCCACACATGATCCCCTTCCTCTACTGCAGGAGAAGCAACCCACGTCACACCGTTCCAGTTTTCCCAGCCCTGCCCTGCAATAGGCTCGTGTCTAAATTTTACAGACTCAGCGTCCTCAATTTCCCTTGAGGGTCTTTAGAATGAACCATCTGCTTTTAAAGGAATGGAGATACGTGGTCTTCAGATGAAAATAAAACACAACCCATAGGTTGCGAAACAGATGTTGTAAAGGGTGTTGGGTGGTCTTTTTTGTTGTTTTAAAGAAGATACAAACACCCAAGCAAAACATATCTTCACAGTTGGCTTGTGAAACGGCATTTGTATAAAACAGGTCTCAATTTTAAAAAACAAAAAGCCCTAAGGATCCCAATTACCCAAAACACCTGGATGTTTGAAACATTTTGTTGATGCCCAAGCAGAGCTAACTATTAAAAAATAAAGGAAGTGTGGAGCAGGAATTCAAAATGTGACTGTTATTTTTCAAGCTCCGTGCACGGCAATGCCAGGTATGACAGGGAAGACAGGGAAGCCATAACTGCCCCCACGCTGCACATCTCTGGCCGTGAGGTTTTAACCACCTGCTACCTTTCCTCTCATCTCACTGCCCCACCCCACACCGGCAGCTATTCCACACAAAGTCGCAACTCGTACACTCTCTTCCACGGCTCGTCCCTCGGCCCCTTCTTGGCAATCCACCTCGTCGCCGGCTGAAGTCCCGCTCCCTCTCTCGGTTCTCTTTGCTTTCTTCACTGGGTTCCGTCTGCCCGCTGTCTTTCTGTCCTGAAACCCCCTTCTTCTTCCCAACCATCTCCCAGGAGTGCTGCGAAGGGAGAGGCAAGATTTATTCCCACTCTCCACGCACATAACACACGTTCAATTTCACAGATGCATGCAAGAAACATTCTACGGGTTTCATTGAAGTTGGTGACTGCCATTTTATTAAAAAAAATATTCCTTTACAAAAAATATTATTTTTCAAACAGGAAAGATGCAGATATACTTGTGCTGACCACTATAAAACAGTGTACCGGGTGTGTTCGTACATTTTAGATTAGTTGCAAAGATGGTATTGTAGAACCATTGTAGAACTGATTGTTGCTTTTAAAAGTTTATAAAGTTTTATTTGGGAAAATAAAAATTTCATTGAAAAAAAGAAAGAAAAACCTGCTAGATATCGACTAGAGTTAAAATTCCAGTTCAGTTCTGGACATTTTTTGAGGGGGAGGTGGGCGCAGAAAGCATAATTGCATCAACCATGTTTCATTTTTTCACATTTCTAAAATGAGAATTCATAGAAGGAATCAACACTGGAAGTGAAGACAGCAGAATATTTTGACAACTAGAAGCAGTATGCAGAGGGGGCCGTGAATGTCAGGAGAGGAGAACCGCAAGATCTGGGCCGGGGCCGATAAACAGGTGAGTCATCCTCAGTCTTCTCAGGTTGGGGGTAGGAAACCTGTTTCTTCCCAAGGGCTGCATTTCCGCCTGGGGAACCTTCCAAGGGCCACATGCCAGGGTTAGGCAAAAGTGGGTGCATAATAAATGTACAAACACACCCCTCTCTGTCACCCATACAGATGAGAGGCATTATCAGAGCTCAAGGACACATTCCAGCCACCCACAAACGCTTGGGATGCCAAGCAGGGCTAGGGAGCGGTGTGGCCTGGGAAGTGTTCCAAGGGCTAAGCAATGGGTAAGGAAACTAAGGCCCGGGGGCCGGATCCGGCCCAATCGCCTTCTAAATCTGGCCTGCGGACGGTCCGGGAATCAGTGTGTGTTTACATAAGTACAATGTGTGCTTTTATTTAAAATGCATTTCTGGGTTATTTGTGGGCCATAGGAATTCGTTGACCCCCCCCCAAAAAATATTCCGGCCCCCCCACAAGGTCTGAGGGACAGTGGACCGGCCCCCTGCTGAAAAAGTTTGCTGACCCCTGGGCTAAGCTGAGAGGCCTGGTGTGGGGCATGCAGTCCCTCGGGCTGCTGTTCTCCCTCCCTGCCTTAGACCCACACTTAACTTTAATTTAAACTGCAGAATCCTACACAGATTTTAGAGTGCCCCATGACCTGACTTTTCAACATCTCCCCTCCGCAGATCTGCCTCACTCTGTCAGCTTTTCTCCTGGGTCTCTCTCTCTCTCTCTCTCTCTCTCTCTCTCCTCTTTCAAACTCACATCAGCTGCAGTCAACACAGCCAGTCATGAGGGATGATGGGAATTGTAGTCTAGCACAGACAGGAGAACGGGGCATGCCTTGAGCTGCCTCATCTTCTGAGACACCTGGGCTGCTCTTCTCCCCTCCCCAACGCTACTCCCTTCGCCCAGCAGAGAATAAAAAAGGTCTTTGCAACCTGCAACTCCACTCTGCTAACTGAGCCCCGCAAAGCCGCAGATTTACCGTGTCCGGGTTGCCTTCCAACAGCACGTTGATGGCTCTGTTGACGTCCCCATTGCAGTCGTGCAAGGCGATGACACACTCATCCTGGTTCTTGCCCGTGATGTCGATCAGCTGCCGAGGGAGAAGCAACAAAGCATAAGGCTGGGACCTGTCACCAGTCACAGGACTTCAAACCCCTGAACCCAAGTGCCTCCCTCAAGCTATCCAAAGCAGCCATGAGTGTGTCCATCGTGTTCCTCTCTCCCAGGAGACATCAAAGACAGCTGGCGGGGCAAGGAGTTAAAAGGCACACTCTCCTTGGAGAGTCTTCCCCTCTCCTCACGTCCTCCAGCGTCCCAAAAAACCTACTTGTTTCACTTTCTCCTCAAAGTCAGCATCGTTGTGGTCGGATATCATCTGTGCAAGTCGGATTTGCTCTGCAGTGGCCTGTGGAGACAGGGGCCAGAGGTGGAAGTGTTAGAATGAAACAGGGCAGAAAGACAACAAGTTAGCCCTGTAAGTGGGGCGTCTGGCCGGGAGCAGGGAAGCTGCCTGAGTAAAGAATGAGCTGGACACTGCCATTTGCTCTGCCCTCAGATCTGAATTGGGTACTTCCAAGGCCAGGCAACCGCAGACATCAGCGAGGGAGGAGGGCAAAGCCACAAAGCTCCCACCATCAAGTTACGAGGGAAGAGCTGCGCAAAGCCCTGCCCTACTGGCTTAGATATTAATCACCTGCTCAGCTTCCAGAGCTGATAGGGAGGAATTTTCTCATATAGACACAACTATATAACTGCACAGATACAACTATATAACTACATTATTCAGAACTGTAACTTTAAGAATTTGCACCCGAGCTTGCTTCTTCTCTCCCTAACCCACCCTTGCTTTAAGATTGTAAACCCAAGGAGCAGGGACTGGTTTGTGTAAGCTGCTCTGCTTTTTGGCTAAGAAGCGGAGTACAAATACACTGGGACTAATGCTGAGACTAACACACTGGGACCAAGACTGAGAGGTTTTAGTCCTCAGTTAAGGGTGAGGATCCAGAGTTTAGTCTAAAGTAGGGATGAGATATATTTAAATTCTCTCTCATCATGTCATTCAGTCGTGTTCTAATCTCTGTTAAACAAGGAGAAAGGCTTGTTGTGGTTATCAACATAAGAGCTCAACTCCTCTATGTTTGCCTCTCTTATGAATTTGGTATTAATTTTCTATTTCTTATACATATCAATAGCACAACATGCTTCCATGGAATGCAGATTAATGGAAAAGCAGAGGTTCTGGAACAGAAAGGATACGATATTGTCCCCTTTTCCAGCCTCTCTTCCCCTCTTTGTGTCACAACTGAAAAAAACCCAAACGTTTGAAAACTGTAATTAATAGGCAACTGGTTGGGCTTATCAACGCGGGAGGTTTCAAAAGCTTTTCACTGCCCAGGCAACCAGATGTTTTATCCAGATATCCCAACAGGTTCAGCGTCAGTGGCCGGGAAATTAGTCCTTTCACCTGCCACACGTATCAAGAAAGTTTGAGCACTGATTCTTCCTGTGTTTGCCCACAAAGCCAGAACTTTGCCTCAGCTCCTAAGCATGCAAGCTAAGAGCAGCCCGAAAGGGTGCGGAGGAGTTTTCCTTTGTCTCGTGGGAAAGACGTTAGGCCAGCGTGCTCTTAGTCACAACGGAAAAAAGGAAAAGGTGAGGGAGCCAAGAGGACTCCTCCCCTCCCAAAGCCAACTGGTTTCCATGGACACCCTGGCCTGCTCCACCCTCACCTGTGGCCTCTGTTTGTGCTGTGCCTGGTTCTGCGTCTGCTCCCAGCTTCCCCGGGCTCGGTTAGTGCCCACCGATGTCATCATTTACAGTATATACAAATAACAGTATTTACAAGGTAGAACTCTGTGGAGTGGAGAGAAGAAGAAAAAAAGGGTTTTTTTTAAGGAAACGAGCAAGCAGATGGCCCAGCCACATTTTGCCAACACATCCCCTTTTGTGATTAACACGGAAGAACCAACTCCTAATCCCTTAAGTCAGGCATGTCCAACAGGTAGATCATGATCTACCGGTAGATCACTGGATGTCTGTGGCAGATCACTGGCTCCCCCCAAAGCTCACCAACTTTGACCCGAACTGCCAGATCATTGCCAGTTTTTAACTCTGTGAGTAGATCACAGCCTCTTGGGAGTTGGCCACCCCTGCCTTAAGCCAAGGGGTCAAGTATCTTTCTCCCAGTTCTGCCCCACGTCCCGGTACAAATTGCCTTCTTAAAACCATCAGCTTGCGAGGACTCGCATGTCCCAGGTGCAAAGTCCACTCCTCAAATCCCTCAGACTCACGCCAGTTCTCAAAGGGGAGAGTTCCAAGCTTGTTCTCAGCTTTGGGTGAAAAAGCCTTTGATAAAACCCATCTCCTCAAGGAAAGTTTCCATGACCAATGGAAAGTTACAGGTTGGTGTTGCAACAAAAAAAGAAAAGAAAAAGGGAACTTTGACAAGTTGGCATCTCAGAGCAGGGCAGCGACATTCTCCAGCTGAGCTGCATCCAGCAACCCTCAGAGCTGGTAACCAGCAGGGTCTTTCCTCGTCCTCGGGCTCAGATTCTGGCCCCAAGACCACACCAGTTTTCAACAAGAATGAAGCCAAGCTTTATAAAGTGGCATAAATCTGTGCAGCCCTGCCTAAAAACAGTGGCACAAAAACTCTGGAAATTTGCACCCTGGTAGACGCATTTAACCAAGAATGCCTACAAACGCAAGGGATCAGAGACAGCATACATTTCATAAAACCCACACCTAATAAGTTTGAGAGGAGGACCACAGCTCAGAGGCACCAGCTTCAATTTCCAGGTCATGCTGGGAAAAGGCTCCCTTGCCTGAAACCCTGGAGAGCTGCTGCCTGTCAGTGTACACAGTACGGATCTGGATGAGCTAATGACCTGACTTCCTATGTTCGTTAGTAGGCTGTTATTCACAGTGGCCAATGCTAACCAAATCAGATACAAAGAAATCCAACTAAACGATGGGTTTGCCCCCCATGAGTTAACAAGACACTGTGGCCAGTGGGGGGACACTGTTTTTCATCAGTCTCCCCTTCCTCCTGTTTCCAAAAAAAATGCTTGGGAGAGTAAAGAGGCCCCGGTACTCCATGGGCTGAAGCACGGCCAGATTTTGTACTAGGTGATTGCAGGGGAACAGAAACAACCCAACTAAATATTGGTGTTTTTTTCTTGCAGTACGGATGAAGGCAAGGAAATTTTTGCAGTTCAAGGGCCACATTCCCTCACAGACAACCTTCCAGGGGCCACATGTGCAGGGCCAGAGGAAGGTATGGGCAGAGCAACACATGCAACTGTTAACATTATATCAGGGAAGGGGAGACATTTTGACCCCTAGATGCTACTGAATTACAATTCCCTAACCACAGGTGTACTGACTGGGGCTGATGAGAACCGAAGTCTAACAACCTCTGGAGGGCCAAAAGCGTCATACTGTAGGCGACAGTCCAACCACACAAGAAACAGAGATCTCTACAAACCATTCTATATTCAGCTAGGCAAGAAGCATTGCCACAGTTAAATGGTACATTCCAACCAGGGAAAAGCCCTTGAACAGGGTGCAGAGCAGTGGCACAGTCTTGGAAGAGTCCCGAGGGCCACATCCATGCTCCAGGATTGAGGGGCTGTGCTTCCAACAGAGATTGCGGGAGAGCAGGAGAGAGAGAGAGAAGGAAACCATTTCTCTCACACCAATGTGAGAACAACGTTCTATGGGGCCACCAGAAAGGAAAGCATGCTTGAAAAATAGGCTTTCTCCAACAACTACCTACTCTTCCTTAGGGAATTCTGGCATCTACATGCAGAATGACCACAAAAACATAGCAATCACCGTATTTTTCGCCCTATAGGACGCACTTTTTCCCCTCCAAAAATGAAGGGGAAATGTGTGTGCGTCCTATGGGGCGAATGCAGGCTTCGCGCACCTCTCTGCAAGCAGCGGGAGCCAGCGCTGGGCTCCCACGGCTTGCAGAGAGCTGCCTGTTTGGGGGCTGGGGTCGGGGGAAGCTCGGGCTTCCCCCGCCCCAGGCCCGTGCCTGGGGGGAAATAATTTTTTTCCCTTTATTTCCCCCCAAAAAAACTAGGTGCGCCTTATGGGACGGTGCGTCCTATACAGCGAAAAATACGGTATTCCCAGGCGATGGGAGACGTGGGCAAGTGGCCCATGCGACTCTCGGGATCCTTACACGCTGGGGGCACCTGAGCACAGGAGTGGCAGACAAAGTTACAAAGTGGTCTGGAACAAGGGACGAAAACTCCCATTGGTGGGTCAGTGCTGCCTGTACACTCTTATCTCATGTATGGACTACAGCCACAGGCAACTGAGGACCAAACATTATGACCTGCTTGCCCCACATGAACAGTTTGTTTGCTGCTGGACACAAGAGAAGCTGCAGAGCACATACATGCTTTGCACACACACAAGGTCCTAGGTTCAGTCCCCAGCAAACAAGCAGCAGTTCTCCACCTGTGGGTCCCGTCCCCAGATGTTGTTGGAATACAACTCCCATCATCCCTGAGCTCTGGCCTTGCTAGCTAGGGGTGATGGGAGTTGTAGTTCAACAACATCTGGGGACCCGCAGGTTGAGAAAGGCTGGTTTAAAGGATCCCAGGTAGCAGGCAGAGCCAGCCTGACCAAACTCAGATATATAAGCTAATCACCAAATGGCACCTTAAACCTAGGTTGCGGTCACTACAACGGCATGTTTAGATTTGTTATTATTACTGTTCATTTCATTTCTATACTGTTCTAGATCTTAAAGAAAAAAAGCCAAAGCAACATTTGACAACACATTAAAACATCAAATAAAACAATCCAGATTAAAACAAATTCAAGCTTCAAAGAAAATATTTCAGTTCCTTTTGTAAGTGACATTTTGCTTTCCCCATATTTATTTACCTACCTGATTTATAGAGCTGCCCCATAGCAGAAGGACTCTAGGAAGCCAGTGTGGTGTAGTGGTTAGAGTGTTGGTCTAGTACTTTGGAGATCAGGGTTCAATCCCCACTCAGCCATGAAGCTCACTGGGTGACCTTGAGTCAGTTGAAACCTCTTAACCTACCTCACAGGGCCGTTGTAGGGATTAACTGAGGAGGGGGAGGTGAACCATGGACTCCTTGGAGAAAAGGGTGGGATATAAATGCAACAAATAAGCTCTTCTGCTTACCTGCTTAAGAAAACTGGAGGGGCCAGCCAGATGGAGATGTCAGTTGCTAGCCCAGCACCCAGAGACCTCCATGTGGTCGCAATTGGACCTGCACCAGTCGCAAAACGCACCTGGCGCCTGGCTAATTTCTAGCACTGAGCTTGTCTGTTAGAGGAAGTCAGGCAGCAGGCAGGGAAGGCCTTGGAGGCCTGCTGCCCTTAAGTGTGGTAGACAGACGAAAGACTCCGCTGCTACTCCATGTGGGTTTTATACACCGAAAAGGGAGGGTTTTGCACCACCCTGTCTTTGCCTCGAACAGTATAATGTCTTGGTAAAGACCCCTCTCTGACGAAGACCCTGGAGAGTTGCTGCCAGTCAAGAACAGACTATTCTGAGCTAAATGAACCAATGGTCTGACTCGAGATGTGGCAACTTCCCTTGCTGGGAGGAAAAGCCATAGCTCAGTGAAGTGAGGTCAGGCTGCAGCTAAACAACTGCTTTTCAGCAGTGAGCTAAGCAGCTCTGCATACAGAACACAGACTTTTAACCCTCTGTTCTGCAGGATGGCTTCAGGACAGAGTGCCCCGCCTCCAAATCCTCACAGCTTCAACGAAGTCGAAAACCTTGCTGAAGACAAACCTCTCGAGCCCAGCAGCCTGTAGTCGTGGTTTGTGTTAAAATAAGCTGGCTTTTGTAGTTCAGAGTCTGTTTTACTTGAATTTTGTTTTTTTTTAAAAAAGATGGGAGAACATTAAGAACAATTAGCATGAACCTGTTCCGCATGCAATATGCCATAACAGTGTTTTATTTTTAGACCTTTCCAAAAAGGTTGGGAACGACGTCACTGCCCAAGACCTTGGGGAGCTGCTGCCAGTCAGAGCAGCCCTGATGGATCTCAGCAAATGTCGAGCATCCATTCCAGCAGCCTACTCCACATAACCAGACAGATATGTCCCAAGACGGTCACAAAAACAGGACAGAAAAGTGAGAGCAACAGGGATCCAGAGACAGATTCCAAATTAGCCATCATGGCTAATAGGCCTCTCCCTCTTCCATCAATCTGTCTCATCCCCTTCTAAAGTTATCCAAAGCAGCAGCCTTCATCACTTTCTACTGTGCTGAATCCTACAAATTAATGCAGCTTCAATTAGTTAATGTATAATGCAGCTTCAAAATACTCAGATGACATTGAGGTGGCTCTCTTCCCCTACACTCCTTTTCGGTCCCTATAAATTACAGGGCCTTCCAAGGGAAGCACTGTGGGGCTATTTATGCTCAGGTCCTGACCATAAACACCTCCCTGAGTTGGCATAAAAAGGAGCCTCAGTGCACTTCCTGTATTACAACGCCAGCAGCTTCCATCTCGTGGGTGGAATAAACTTCCTGTTTATACGTGAGTAGGCCTTTGAGTCAATGACAGAAATCTATAGTTGTCCATTGCTTTCATACAAGAAGTTTCATTCCCACACAGGTCTGGGGGCGTAGAGGGGTCTATCCAGGTGCCCTCAGTACCCACAGCTGGGAATTTGGAGAGAATCCAACTAGATTTCTCAGTCCCTACAGATCACTGCACCATCAAGAATAAGAGTTAAACAGCGTAATCACACCAGACTGGACACCACGGAAACTCACTGATAAGCTGGAGAAGATTTTGCAGAGAGAGAAAAGAAACTCAGAAAGAACACAGAAAGGTCCAGATAAGTTGTGTGCAGGGGAAAGCCTGAAAATACTGATATAGATAGCTAAAGAAAATAAAGAGAGATGAAGGATGTGATGTGATGAGTTTCTTTAAAGGAGAACAGCCACTATTATCTGAGATCACAGTTTGGGCCACGATGAAAAGCTGTTGGTTTCAGTTCACTCAGGATAATTAAGCATTAGAAACAATATTTATACAATACTCAAAGCCTTCAACCATCTTTAATATAATTAGTAAGATTGGTCAGTGCTAGGATTCCCGTTATTACTATTCAGTACGAATTGATAAGGCAGTGTTGCTCTCCCAATGGAAATTTATTCCTAAATATCTGACACCCCATAATATCCAAAGATAATCAAGAGCACTGCTGATGTTCAGCTCATAGCTTGAATACTTAATCATTACACTAAGAAAAAGTTCCTCAGATGCCTCAAAGCCCTGCTTCCCATCCTTTTCGTGCAGAAGACCCCAGATTTAATCCCAGGTAGGGTCAGAAGACCCCTGTTGGAAACTACAGAGAGCAACTGCTACCCAGTGTGGAGACAATACTGAGCTAGCTGGACTAATGGATTGAGTAGCTTTCTGTGTTCCAAACAAGGTCTCCCAGAGCAATATGCAGTCTTCTTTTTATAAGTTTGAAGGAAAGGCTGCCATGGGTCTGACAGACCCTTTAGTGATGAATACCCCCATGTCAAAGAAGAGATCTGGTCCCACAAAGCATCTTCTGGGACTCCAAGGTTCTAAGAACAAAGCAACAAGAAAGATGGTTATTCTTTGCTGGAAAGACTAGATACTGGAAAGGCCAGCGATCCTGACAGGGTGTTTATGCTTCTGGCAACCCGAGCAGGCGAACTTCACAGCTATAGATGGAAAAACACAGGTACACACAAAAACCAAAGCAACTTTGCCTTTAGCAAAACATTTTTTTTTGTACCTAAGGGTGCAGTTTTCTGTGACTTAGCCCCACTGAAGTAAGTGATGTGGTTCGGATTCATAGGACTGGATTGCATAGGAGATCACAATGCAAACACATTTTACTAAAAAGCTATACACCTTCACCCTGAAACTTGTTTTGTGTCCGTAGAAGTATATATATATATATATATATATATATAGATAGATAGATATAGATATAGATATAGATATATATAGATATATATAGATATAGATATAAATATAGATATAGATAGTTGTAAATGTGATTTATTCATTAGTAGTAGTGGTAGTAATAACACCTAAAAAGGATCTTATCTGCTGGACTCTATTTTCTCAATATGAAAAAGTTTAGAGTAGTATTTTGGTTAGTTACAAGAACCGCCTTAGGAGAGACATAATGGCAAAAGTGTTGACTTTCGTTGTGTGATGCCTGAGCCCTTAAACTCCTAAAGCATGGATGGGGAAGCTTTGGCCCTGCAGAGGTTGCTAGACTGCAGTTCCCATCATCCCTCAACCACTGGGCATGCTGAGGCTGATGGGAGCTGAAGTCCAACAACTTTTTCTAAAGAGCAAGGGAGGGAAAAGGAATAATAGCACAAATCCCAAGCCTTAGAAAGGAGAAACAAATAAATAAGCAACAAAGCAGTCACTCACTACTTCTGCTCCTTGTCAGTGAGACAAAAATTAACAGCAGCCTAGGTTATAGAGAGGGACGCGGGTGGCGCTGTGGGTAAAACCTCAGCGCCTAGGACTTGCCGATCGCATGGTCGGTGGTTCGAATCCCCGCGGCGGGGTGCGCTCCCGTCGTTCGGTCCCAGTGCCTGCCAACCTAGCAGTTCGAAAGCACCCCCAAGTGCAAGTAGATAAATAGGGACCGCTTACCAGCGCGAAGGTAAACGGCGTTCCGTGTGCTGCGCTGGCTCGCCAGATGCAGCTTGTCACGCTGGCCACGTGACCCGGAAGTGTCTGTGGACAGCGCTGGCTCCCGGCCTATAGAGTGAGATGAGCGCACAACCCTAGAGTCTGTCAAGACTGGCCCGTAAGGGCAGGGGTACCTTTACCTTTTAGGTTATAGAGGGATTGCTCCAAGGATTAAACTGTTCCATCTACTGTCTTTTAAAAGCACAGAAGCTGCAAACTTAAACCCACTTACCTGGGAGCAAGCCTCATTGACCTCATCACTCCTAAAGTAGGCATGGTTAGGATTGCAATGTACATTATTAAGAATCGCTTTCTGAAAAGCAAGAACTTAGGTTGAAGAAGCCAGGCAGAAGAGAAGATGCTGAATAGCAAGAACAGCAGAACCACGTGTTTTTGTGCTGTACTGATGCAAGTTCTCTGGCACAAAAAGAGGACTTTTCGAAGGATGGGAGGCAGAAGCAGCATGATAAGCAAGGACTGGCCATGGAGCTGCAGGCAGTCAACTTTCTCAAAGGCACCAAATCTCAACTGAAATTGCCATGTGGAAAGTGGAGGCCCTAGAAATGGTACTGGTCACTTGGAGCAGATGGCCTGGCCGGAGGGGGCAGTGAAGAGAGAAAAGTGACGGAGATCAACACAAACTCCCAAGGTTTGAGGAAAAATGAGCTAGCTGTCCTGCAATACAAGCAGAAACACCATTATGCAAACCCAACTGAGTGAAAGAATCCTCAGGAGAATGGTGGTAGTTAGCTTTTAAAGGCAGGACAAGAAGAAGCTCTGCAGTATTTGAAGTCTCTTTTCGTAAACACCACACCCTTTGGATTGAAAGCTTCTGGCACCAAGGGAATCCTGGTTCTTTCAGTGCCCCATCTGTCTGCCTGGCACCAGAGGTCTTCGCAAAGTGTCCTAGACAAAGTTGCAAGAGTAATCTGATAAGGAAGTTCAGCACCAGTGCAACACAGGATTCGGAGATCTGGATTCGAAACTGGTCAGTCACAATGTTCACCAAGGCCAGTTATGCTCTTTCATCCACAAGCAAAAACAGTGAGGGTTAGATAGAGGAAGGTAACCCTCCCACATAAGGGGGAGGGCAACATCCTGAATTCTTTAAAGGAAGGGCAGTATCCAAAAATATTTTTAAAATCCAAGGACACAGCTAGGAGGTTTAAGGAACAGTCCAGAAAACTATTTAGCATAATAAAGGGGGGGGGGAGTTTTATAGCCAATTAACAGCTTATTCAGAAGTTAAGTACCACTTGCATGAGGTAACTTTATAGTAAGGGATGCACTAGCAGCTCAAACTTACAAAGTAATAAGGTGAGAAGGGTCTTGCAAGATCTGGAAAAAGGCCCATCTGCATCTTGTTCTCAAAGTGGCAACTAAACACTTCTGAGAAGCCCACAAGATGGGCATCAGCACAAGAGCATTGATCCTTAGGAAACTGGTATTCAGAGGCCTTTGATAAGGGTGGAAATAAAAGAGCTATGGTGATTTGTAGCCACAAATGAGACTCATCTTCTGAAGTTCCAGCAGCACCGGTCCTCAGGAAACCAACACTCAGAGGCCTTTGATATGGGACGAAATATATAGCCATGATGACTTGTAGCCACTGATAAGAATCATCCGCCGTAGTCCCGCTTTGTACAATGGAGTTTACCTCTTTACTTCAGCGCCCAAAGGACTGCAGCTAGAAGGAGCCCAACCTAACTTCAGAGTTACTCGGAAACAGAACGCTGCTGCTGCAAACTTGGCACAAGCTGCTGTTTCTCTTCCCCCCCCACAAAAAAATGAAGGAAGAAAGAGGAGACTGAGGAACTTTCTCTCCTCCCCTGACTTTTTTATTTTTAAATCGTTTCCACGTGCAGGTTTTTAAGGGCTACTTGGGGAATGTTTACAGATCTGCGGGCGGTGGGGACAGAAAAGAGAAGTCGTCTAACTCTCAACATTCCCCACCGCCACCAGCCAGATTTACCAGTTTTTTACACCTTGGCGGGGGAGAGAGAAACAAGCGGTCTTGGGGGGAACGAACAATGGATCCGGCTTTCTAGAGAGGAAAAGAAAAGTCTCCCCCACCTCGATCGCAGGAAGCTCCCCCCCAGGCCTGTTTGTCCGGGAAGAAGGATCAGCTTGCAGTGAAGGGTGGGGTTGTGTTTGCGGTAAAGGATTTAGAGTGGTGGTTGGGGAGGGGGGAGAGTTGGAAAGAAAGACTCCTCTTTCTCTTTTCCCCGGTCCACGGAGCTCTCTGGAAGCGGAAACAGCCCAGAGGGCCTCAAGGTGGGGCGAGGAGGAATACTTTAAAAATAGTGATGAGAGTAAGAACCATAGTAAGAAGAGGGGGGGAATAGTTTACCTACCCAGAGGTTGTGGGGAAGGGATCGACCTCGAAGAAGTTTGAGCGGGGGGGAAATCGGTCCCGCCTGGTTCAGCCCGACTCAGCCCCTCCCTGGCCCAGCCTGGCGCGCTACGCAAGTCCCCGGCTTCGCTCTGGCCGACTAGGCCGCGGTGGCGCTCGGGACCGGAACTCTCCCCTCCTCACGCCCCCTTCCCCCGCCCTCGCCCCCTCCCTCCCTCGGAAGGCCCAGCAGCTCCGCCGCCTCCTGGAACAATTCCTGCCGGCCGGACTTTCCCCTTCTACTCACCCTCCACGGAAAGCTCCTTTTTTGAAGCCCAGGGGAGGGGAAGAAAAAAAATCCCCTCACAAAATATAGATATACATATATAAGTATGTATTAAAGAAGGAATTTATTATTATGATATGGTGGGGTGGGGGGAAGGGGCGGGGCCGGCGCTTAAAGGGCCCGCGCGCAATTCCCGGCGCGGCCGCCAACTTTACCTGAGTCTCCACCGCCTCCTCCGCCGCCGCCGCCGCCGCCACACACACTGACAACTAACCCAACGCGGCCGCGGGGCCGCCCCTCTGCCCCCACCACGTGACGCGCGCGCGCGGGGATTGGAGGGAGGGCCGCGGCGCGGCTTCGGCCCGCGTCACGTGACGGGCGGCGGCGAGGGAGGCTCGGCCACGCCCCCTTTTCTGTTGTCCGTCAAGAGTCCGCCCGCCCGCTCTTCGGCTTTATCCCGGCGCGCTTTCGCACTCTTACCCCGCCCCTCGCAACCTGACCCCGCCTTCTTAAAGGAACCACGTGACGCTTCCCTGCCAGAACTCACATGGCCAAGAATGAAAAAGGGGAGGTGGGTCTGTAGGATAGGGAGCCGTTATCGCCAGCGGCCACTTCCGGTTCTCGTTGGACACGGCGGGTTTCGTAGAACTATGTTTTACTCAAGAGTAGACCCCGATTGAAATTCATGAGCCTAAGTTGTTTGTTTATTGAATTTATTCTTATACTAGTCATGTCTATTGACTCCAGTGGGTCTGCTTTGAGTAGGACTAAGCACTGGGTGCAACTCAGTGTCAGACAACCCAATCAGATGGGCGGGGTACAAATAATAAAACTGTTGTTGTTGTTGTTAATAAAACTGTTGTTGTTGTTTTAGACCTTTTTTTGAAGAGGCGGCGGAGAGAGGACTACAACTAGGAAACTTGTGTAGCATAGCAGTATAGTTAACTATCTTTGTTTCTTAAGTTTTGCTGCTTTTGTGTTTTCTTGCTAGTATATTAACTGCACAACTAAGTTTTCTGATTAAGTGATCATTACATATTTCTATAAATTATAAAACAATAAAAGCGACTGAACATTAAGGCATGGGTTAGGGGGAAACTAGCAGTACAGTGGGTTGTTGTTGTTTAAAGGTAAAGGGACCCCTGACCGTTAGGTCCAGTCATGACCGACTCTGGGGTTGCGGCACTCATCTCGCTTTATTGCCTGAGGGAGCCGGCGTACAGCTTCCGGGTCATGTGGCCAGCATGACTAAGCCGCTTCCGGCGAATCAGAGCAGCGCACGGAAACACCATTTACCTTCCCGCCGGAGAGGTACCTATTTATCTACTTGCACTTTGACGTGCTTTCGAACTGCTAGGTCGGCAGAAGTTGTTGTTTAGTCGAGTCCAACTCTTCGTGACCCCATGGACCAGAGCACGCCAGGCACTCCTGTCTTCCACTGCCTCCCGCAGTTTGGTCAAACTCATGCTGGTAGCTTCGAGAACACCATCTCGTCCTCTGTCGTCCCCTTCTCCTTGTGTCCTCAATCTTTCCCAACATCAGGGTCTTTTCCAGGGAGTCTTCTCTTCTCATGAGGTGGCCAAAGTATTGGAGCCTCAGGATCTGTCCTTCCAGTGAGCACTCAGGGCTGATTTCCTTCAGAATGGAGAGGTTTGATCTTCTTGCAGTCCATGGGACTCTCAAGAGTCTCCTCCAGCACCAGAATTCAAAAGCATTCCCATCATCCCTGACCACTGGCCCTGCTGGATGTGAGACTGACAACAACCGAAGGGTCACCAATTGCCCCCTCGTAAATTAGAGAATGGGCCCTATCTCGCGCACAGATCTCCCTTTCTGTTACAGAAATCCTGTGTACCTACTGACCCTATCCCTTTCTCTCCAAGTTGGTCCTGCACGTGGCGACGTCCCATTGGGAACCGGAAATGCCGCTCACATTCCACTCAGTGGGTAACCCCAGCCCTTCACTCGCCCCCTGTAACCTCCCCCACTAGCCGGGCCACGTGACCCTCACATTCCCAGCCCCCTTCCCAAAACCCGCTTCCCTCTGTCGAGAATTTGCTATTATTCCGCCTCCCCCCCTCGCAACACAAACTCTATGTCTCCTCCCCATATGTTATCGCCTCCTTCCGGTCACCTGACCCGACGCTCCTCTTCTCCCGCCCTCCGGAAACCATAGAGTCTGAAGTCGAGCGGGGAGGTGTTAGGGACCGCGTCACGTGACGGGGGCGCAGGCCGGCTTCGGCGCCCGCCATGTTGTGTGGCCCTTTCGGGCGGCCGGGCCAGGCCAGGCGCCAGGGCCGGGGATGGCGGCGTCCTCGACCTCCTCCTCGTCCTCCTCCTCCTCCTCCTCCCCCCCTCCCCAGTCCAGCAACTGGCTCTCCGGGGTGAACGTGGTGCTGATCATGGCCTACGGGAGCCTGGTGAGGACAAACGCCGGGCGGGAAAGGCGGCCGGAGCGAACGCGGCTGAGAAGAGCGGCGAAGGAAGGGCGGCCCCTCTCGGGGCGCTGAAGGGAGGGAGGGAGGCGAGGGGCTGGGGGGGTCCCGTGAAGGGCGCGCGCGGAGGGGGGGGGAACCGCAGCGTCGCCATGGCAACACGCGCCTCCCCTCCTTTCCCCGGGTATCTCTTTTTCACATTCACGCCTTTGGCCCCGTCGCTATTTCGGTTATCTCTTCATGCCCTTCCGTTCTCCCGTTTCGCCCTCACGACAACCCTGCGAGTTAGGAGCTCCCAGATTTGCCCTCACAACAACCCTGCGGGATAAGAGCTCCCAGATTTGCCCCCACAACAATCCTGTGAGGTAGGAGCTCCCAGATTTGCACCCACGACAACCCTGTGAGGTAAAGGTAAAGGGACCCCTGACCATTAGGTCCAGTCACAGACGACTCTGGGGTTGCGGCGCTCATCTCACTTTTTTGGCCAAGGGAGCCAGAGTACATGTGGCCAGCACGGAAACGCTGTTTACCTTCCCGCCGGAGCACTACCTATTTATCTACTTGCACTTTGACATGCTTTTGAACTGCTAGGTTGGCAGGATCAGTCACCGAGCAATGGGAGCTCAGCCTGTCGCGGGGGTTCGAACCGCCGACCTTCTGATTGGCAAGTCCTAGGCTCTGTGGTTTAACCCACAGCGCCACCCACATCCCAGATTTGCCCCCGCAACAACCCTGCGAGGTAGGAGCTCCCAGATTTGCCCCCGCAACAACCCTGTGAGGTAGCAGCAGCTGGAACAGCCTGCGAAGAAGCCGCGGCGTTTTGAGAAAGCTTCACAAATTCTACAGCGGCATCAGTTTCCCCCTCACACACACCAACACGAAAGCTTGTGCTCAGTTGCTAGAGAGCATGAGACTCTTAATCTCAGGGTTGCAGGTTTGAGCCCCACGTTGGGCAAAAGATTCTTGCATTGCACCGGGTTGGACTAGATGACCCTCAGGGTTCTTTCCAACTCTAGGATTCTGCGCTGGAGCGACCTTTGTTAGTCCTCTCCAGCACTACACGGACACCTTGATGTCTTTCATCTGTGGGGCAGGTTGGAAGCGCTGCAGGTCCCTCTTAGGTTGATGCCACCTGCGGAAAAAGAATTCCAGCTTTTTGGAGCTACAATGACAGAACTCCTCTAGTTTCACATTCTGCACAAAAGGATCCTTCTGCAAGTTCAAAACTCACACTAAATCCTTTCCATTTTTGCTTTCTTTTTCCTTGAATGGATCTTGACTGCCCAGAACTGGCCCTACAGGGAAACCAGCCATTCCAGTGCTCAGTACTGTGGTGCCTTCTGACGTCTCAGGCATGATGCCCAGGTTATAATAATACAATGGTACTATGGGTTACATACGCTTCAGGTAACAGACTCCGCTAACCAAGAAGTAGTACCTCGGGTTAAGAACTTTGCTTCAGGATGAGAACAGTAATCGTGCTCTGGCATCGTGGCAGCAGCGGGAGGCCCCATTAGCTAAAGTGGTGCTTCAGCTTAAGAACAGTTTCAGGTTAAGAACGGACCTGTGGAACGAATTAAGTATGTAACCAGAGGTATCACTGTAATAAGGTTGACAGCAGCCCACAATTGTATTGGCCTCTGTGCCACAGCATCGCTTTGCTGGCTTGTGTACAATGTATTCTCACTATAGATACTTTATAAGCGTGGAGGAAGTAAATCCCTGTGGGCAGATTGTGGGAAGGGGTCAGGATTGCTTCAGTTCTGTGATATTGTTTCAGCATTTTTTTCTGTCCTTTATTCCAGGTCTTTGTGCTACTCTTCATATTTGTCAAGAGGCAGATCATGCGCTTCGCCATGAAGTCCCGCCGTGGCCCCCACGTGCCAGTTGGGCAGCACGCACCAAAGGTTTGTTGGCAGGCAACCCTGTTTTAGGGTTAGAAGGGCTGGGGAACTTTGGGGTCTGTGAGCTGTATGCTGCCCTCCAGGCCTCTCTGCTTGTCCCTTGGGATTCTCTTCCTACAGAAGACACAGACCAGATAAAATGAAGTGCTTCTTTGTGCAGCACATAGTTCAACAATTGCACTCACTCCACAGGAGGCAGGGAGGGCCACTAACATGGATGGCTTTCAAAGAGACAAATTCATGGAGGGTAAAGCTGTTGGTGGCTCTGCCTCTGAATATCAGTTGCTGGAAACCACAGGAGCAGCATTAGAAAGTGAAATATGAAAGCTAGGAGCTAAATGACACCTTAAACCTAGGTTAAGGGGGCAACAATGGAATGTCTAGGCATGCTTTTTTTAACAAGAATGCAAAGTTGAAAATGAATGAACTGCAGCTAAAATATGATGTTCATTTTTCTTGAAGGGGAATGTGGCCCTCAGACTGAAAAAGCTTCCTGACCCTGGTTGATGTATAATCCCTGGTTGGGAGCATAAGGTCCTGGATTTGAGCTGTATAAATAAAAATAAGTACTGTATTAGGGCTGGGTGATATCTAGTTTTCAACATTGTGATATATCACCAGCTAAACCGCATGGTGTATCGATATATTACAGTGTCTGAAATAAGAATGGAGCATTGGCTGGCTGTACAGCTTTTACCGTATCGTGATTTTTGCCGGCGCCTGCTCTTGCGATTCGCTGGCCCCTGCAGGAGACAGCGGAGAGCTAAGCCGGCGGAGTTAACAGGGGCTGCTGGAATCAAGAGAAGCATTGCCTGGTGTCAGGGAACTGACATCGGAGCTAGAGGCGGAGGGAAGGCTCTCAAATGATGCTGGAGAAGGGCCCAGCAGGGAGAGAGGCAGCTCTGCAGATGGGGGAGCAAATCAGCGCTACACCAGGAATAAGGAGGGGCTGATGGGGGAATCGGCGAGAGGGCTCCAGGACTCTTCACCGGACACCAGCGGGGAGAGCACGGGTCCCCCGCTACCCACACCCACCCTGCGCGGAAGTCTTCTGCGCAGGGAGAGTAGGAGGAGACTGGGTGTCAAACAACTTTTATGTTGGAAAAGATTTAAGAAACGCCCACTGACGGATTCTGCTAGCGACTGAGGCAGCCACAAAGTGAAGGGCTGCCCAGACTGAAAGGTTTACCAAGGCAACAAAGCCTGGAGAGGCGGCAACTTACGCACGAGCAACCCATACTCATTATACCTGGCTTCACGGTTTTTCCCACATTGTGATTTTTTGCCTAGCAAACACACACAGTGATTTGCAATACAGTGGTACCTCGGGTTACATACGCTTCAGGTTACAGACTCCGCTAACCCAGAAATAGTACCTCGGGTTAAGAACTTTGCTTCAGGATGAGAACAGAAACCGTGCTCCGGCGGCGCGGCAGCAATGGGAGACCCCATTAGCTAAAGTGGTGCTTCAGGTTAAGAACAGTTTCAGGTTAAGAACGGACCTCTAGAATGAATTAAGTACTTAACCTGAGGTACCACTGTATATTGCCAGGTCAGAAATTATGAAACTGATATAACGATACAGACTTCAGACCAGTTTTGGGCAATAAGTTGTTCTATCGCCCAGCCCTAATAAGTGTTTAGGAATGTTTAGTTTAGAAAATGAAATGACTACTGGCAGGGGGAAACTCTGAGGACTTGACAATATTTATTATTGTTTTTTATCTCTTTATACTATATCGGTTTGCATTGTTCTCCCTTCCCCACCGCCATTTTATTGTCACAGCATAACATAAGCTGACTAGCCCCTCCCTCTTTTGCCTCAATAGGAAGATAGGAAAGTATCTTATCCCAAGTCAGATCATTGGCCCATTTACCTTGGTATTGTCTGTCCTGACTGGCAGCAACTCTCCAGGACTTCAGGCAGGGAGTCTTTCTCTCCCAGTCCTGCCTGGGGGTGCCAGAAATTGAACCTGGGACCCTGTCCTTGAAAAACAGGTGCTCTACCCACTGAGCTATGGCCCTTTCTGACAGTGCTGTTTTGCCTGCCTATGGATTAACGCCCAGAGAACGAGCTTTGCTATTGGTCTGTTGGATCTTCTGCATTCCTACCTGGAAGTGGCTATCTTCAAACTTCACCCAAAGCAATCACCGATGTCTGGTTGGCACTTAGAGTTTTCCCAGGAAAGGAGATTGGCAGTGCTGTTCATGATGCTTCATTTAAAAAGATTTTAATTGGTGCTCTCCCATTGGAATCCCGGCCAAGGGCTTTTCTTGGATCTGCTTTTGCTGAGGACCATGGCCTTCCAGATCAGGGCCGCCCCTACCATCAGGCAGAGTGAGGCAGCCTCAGGTGGCTGGTCTTTGTGCGCTACTTAAAGGGGAGCAAACTGTTAGGCTTATGGATACCTGTGGGGTGTTTTGGTGTGTGTTCCGTGTGCCGTGCCCCTCACCTCTGACCCTTCCCCTTTACCTGCTCAGGGCCTGAAGGAGGAGATTGACATCCGACTATCGCGGGTTCAGGATATCAAGTATGAGCCCCGTCTGCTGTCCCACGACGACACTCGCCTCCTTCAACTGGAGTCTCCTCGAAGCCCATGTACAGTTTCCTAATTCACGCCAAGGGGGTGGGAGAAGAGGGCATGAATGTCCACAGAGATGCCAAACTGACTCAGGCCTCTGGGCTGTCTTTTTTTATTGCAGTTTGCTATAACTACATGTACAGGATGAAGGCCTTGGATGCCATCAGGGATTCAGGTAAGCAAACAAATGTTAAGCTGGCTGGCCTGGTGGCTACAGTTCCTGCTCGTATTCACACACACTCTCTGTTCCCCCCTACACACCATAGAGATCCCCTTCTCCTCTGAAGGCAGGCACCCCAGATCCCTGATTGGGAAGAACTTCCGGGCCTACCTGGTGGACCTTCGGAACTCCAGCACCCCCTTCAAAGGCGTCCGCAAGACGTTGATTGACATACTCCTGGATGGGTACGAGAGCGCCCGTTACGGCACAGGGGTGAGTAGTCTCTGCCCAGAGTGCTGTGGAACGGGACTCTGGGACTTGAAAAGCATCTTGAGAACTCTTGACTGCGCTCCCATCATCTCTGACCATTGGCCATGCTGACTGCTGAGGTTGATGGGAATCCAAGAACGTTGTTAAACCACAACTCCTTTAATCCCTGAGGGCGTAGGGCTGGGGGAAACTGATGCACTAGCACTGAAAGCATTGGCTTCTCCTTTTCCTCCTGTGGCGGACAGCCTTAAAATGGGCCCTGCCTCCTTTCCCCTTTAGATCAGGGGTAGTGAACATTGGGGGACACACAAATACAACCTTTATCTGGCCCTCTGGATTCTTCTCCTCTTTCCCATCCATATCCCCCAGCTGCCTGATTTGTGCCCTTGTTTGTTATTTTTGCCTGGTGTCCTAGAACTTCCTTCTCTGGGTGGTGAATCAAGAGTGCTATGTGTAGGAACTATGCGCTGTGGGTTAAACCACAGAGCCTAGGACTTGCCAATCAGAAGGTCGGCGGTTCGAATCCCCGCGACGGGGTGAGCTCCCGTTGCTCGGTCCCTGCTTCTGCCAACCTAGCAGTTTGAAAGCACGTCAAAGTGCAAGTAGATAAATAGGTACCGCTCCAGCAGGAAGGTAAACGGCATTTCCGTGCGCTGCTCTGGTTCGCCAGAAGCGGCTTAGTCATGCTGGCCACATGACCCGGAAGCTGTACGCCGGCTCCCTCGGCCAATAAAGCGAGATGAGCGCCGCAACCCCAGAGTCGGCCACGACTGGACCTAATGGTCAGGGGTCCCTTTACCTTTACCTAACATTTTACATCTGTTGCACCATCCACTTTTGCCGTTGGCCCCGCCCACTGCTGGCATGTGTTACCCAGAAAGGAATGCAGCTATGGGGGGGGGGAGAAATCCCCAGCTACCTGCTTTTGTTGCAGGCGTTCACTTCCTTGGCGTGATCAGAGGTGGCCTGCGGCTGGCATTTCTGTTTCTATGCGCATTTAATCTGTGTCAACTGTGGTAGCAGCCAGGATGGCCTTTTGCTCTGACAACAGCGTTGATAGACACAACACCCAGCTGACAGAATCCACATGTTCCTTGTAGATCATCTTGGCCTTCAGTTTGGGATGTGTGTGTGTGTATATGTGTTTGTATGGTGCATAGTGAAAGATGCCCTGACTCCCCATCCCCATGACGTGTGTGCTGCTGATAAGGCCACCTTTTGCCTCTATCTTTTGTCCCTTCCTTCTCCAATGCCCAGCTAAACGGGGTTGGAACACTCCGCAATCACCCGTTCTCTTGGAAACAGAAAGCTACATTTCTCTATGAAACGGGCTGAGGGGTGCGCCTGATGCTGTTGTACTCTGAATTCTTTATGTCGTCTTTTTGCCTCTATGCTTCATAGGCGGGAGGGAGAGTGAGATGTTCCGGGGCAGGCATGACCCACAGTGCTAAACCACCTGATATTCTTGACCCACTTTTGTGTGTGTGTTTGTTTGTTTCCCAGACTTTCGGGAAGACAGAATTCCTCAAGTACCAGGAAGCTCTGTATGAGCTGGCGGCAATGTAAGTCCTGGGGCTGGGGTTGTTCTTTTGATAATCACCTTCTTCCATCTGGGAGAACTGTGCAGTGTGCTGGGAGACCTGTAAATCCCTCGCACAAACCGGCAACACTTTGCAAGAGCCATAGCTCAGCGGTAGAGCATCTGCCTTGCAAAGGGAAGGTCGTGGGTTCAAATCCCGGCATCTCCTCTTCCCGAAATGAACAAACCCAAGTTAGTTGCGTCTATGAGCTTCACTAGGGGACACGGGTGGCGCTGTGGGTTAAACCACTGAGCCTAGGATTTGCCGATCAGAAGGTCGGCGGTTCAAATCCTCACAACAGGGTGAGCTCCTGTTGCTTGGTCCCTGCTCCTGCCAGGTAACATAATGCTTTGTTTTCGCAGTTGTATGCATTTTTATGCCTCAATACCTTCTGTAAGTGAGGGACACGGGTGGCGCTGTGGGTTAAACCACAGAGCCTGGGGCTTGCCGATCAGAAGGTCGGCGGTTCGAATCCCCACGACGGGGTGAGCTCCCGTTGCTCGGTCCCTGCTCCTGCCAACCTAGCAGTCTGAAAGCATGTCAAAGTGCAAGTAGATAAGTAGGTACCACTCTGGTGGGAAGGTAAACGGCATTTCCGTGCGCTGCTCCGGTTCGCCAGAAGTGTCTTTGTCATGCTGGCCACATGAGCCGGAAGCTGTACGCCGGCTCCCTCGGCCAATAAAGCGAGATGAGCGCCGCAACCCCGGAGTCGGCCACGACTGGACCTAACGGTCGGGGTCCCTTTACCTTTACTATGAGCTTCACTGGATACAGTGCTTATGCAGCCGCTCTCTAATCCGGCAACTGCTCATTTCCCTCCCCCCCTCTCTTCCGGCGCAGCATCAAGGCCCGAGGAGGCAGCAGCCAGCGGCAGCACCAGTCCGCAGCCAAGGACTTGACCCTCTCGCCTGACCTTTCCGGCCCAACCACCATCCAGGTCACCTACCTGCCCTCCAGCCAGAAGAGCAAGAGAGCCAAGCACTTCCTGGAACTGAAGAGCTTTAAGGACAACTACAACACGCTGGAGAGCACCCTGTGATCCTCGCCCTCGATGCGCAACGGGGCCAGGGCTTTCTCCCTTCTCAGTGGCGCTGGCCTGCTGCCGGTTGGCCCGCCAGGACCAAGAAGACTCTTCTCACCCTGCCTTTCTTATTTTGCCTGCGCACTTGGGCTGCCATTAGCTGCTGCCAGGTGGCGTTTCAGTGGACAGTCCTGTGTGAAGCATGTTGCTGCTTTGGGGTGGGGAGCGCCCTCTTAGTTTTCCCTTCCCTCTCCCACCCTGTGTGGTCTTGTAAATATATCATTCAGTTACCTCTTCTATTTATTTAAAAAGACTCAGCCTCCCAGGCACGCCTCTCTCTCCCTACTGCCCGCCGAAGGCGCCGAGAACAAGCCGAGGGGCTTCTTTTAGTCATTTTATTAACTCTGGCTCCTCCTCCTCCATCCCCTTCCACCGTGGGGACATTGTTTCTGTCCTTTCCCAATATCATTTCCCTCCCTCAGTTCTTCCCCCATGGCTTTCCCTTGCAATCTTCCCCATCTCTACCTTCCAGCCAGCGAGGAAGAAGCGAAGGTCCGCAGCCACAAGCGCAAGAGGCGGTTGGGTTGTAAAACAGCCACGTTGGGACCGCTGTTTTTCTGCAGTGCCATTTTGGAGTGCCGCGTCGAAACGGCTGCTTGCTGCCGTGGGTCAGGCCAGGGCCCGTTTTCCTTTTTGTCTACTTGCTGTTGATGTGCTGGAACATCAGTATCCCCAACACGACCGAGGGGGTGTCCTGTCCCCCCACCACCACCATGCTGGGTCTCGGCACAACAAGCCTTGCTTGCCCCTCTTCAGCCTTGAGAGAGAGCCGGCCTGTCCTTGTCTGTTTCTGAAAACGTCTCTTTAATAAAGCAGACACTTGCACAGCCATGGGCTCCTGGTTATCTTTTCTGCAAAAGAGCAGTTCTGACTTGGATGAGGCTCCCAGGCCCATCACTTTCTCTGTCTCCAGGAACTTTGAGTCACACCTGGAAGGGCCTCCTAGGATACGCATTGTGTCCCCTGCACCCCATTGCCATTGAAAAAGATTCCCCGCTTCGGCTTTTAAAAGACACAAGTGTTGACTGGTTCCTACTTCAAGGAGAGAGGAAACCAGCAGGAAGAGCACAGGAAAGCTAAGGACTAGAGAGGGACTTCCCCATGGCTGCATGAGATTTGAAGGTGGGAGAGAGAGAGAGACTTTGTTGCCCTCACACAAGCACATACACTTTCTTCCTTGTTCTCTGGGACTTCAAACTCCCGATCTTGGAGCTGCGTCATCCTAAGCCCACATGGTTTGTGTTGCTCTGGGCTATATCGGGGGTAAGGCGCCTGTGGCCGTCTACATACTGTTAGACTACAACTCCCATCATCCCCAACCATGCTGGCGGGAGATGTAGTCCAACAATATGGCGGGCCACAGGCTCCCCTTCCCTGCTTTAATATGCATTTAATATGTGACCCGTGATTGGTTGGGACATGTGTCAAGTTCAGGGGTGGGGAAACTGGCCTTCCTCCAGACGTTGGTAGACTCCCAACTCCCATCATCTGTGTCCGAGTCTAATGGGAGTTTGAGTCCAACGTCATCTGGAAGGAGGGTGTCGTCCCTCCATCCCTGCTATATCGGGAGTAAAGGCCAGATTTCCACTCTCGTCAAGTTTTGAATGTGTTCGCTCAGGGGCCTTTCCTCTTCAACATCAATAACTGAATTTAAAACTCCATGAAAGCTTGCATCGTATTTCAACAAAGCCCTCCTTCAAAATTCACACTGCTCCCAAATTTTGAAATGTCCTCTGGCCCAGGAATTTAGACGAAACTGCATATACTGGGAGGGTGCATTTTTAAAAAAATGCCTCTTAGTGATGGTAACATACACAAATGTGTTGTATTTGGGGAAAATGTGCTTTGCAGAGTTATATAGAAATGCGTGTATTTTAGGAGGAATAAATGCCAGTTTTCATGACTTTTTAAGAAAAATGTGGAAATGTGTAGAAATGGAAAAACGAGAAACCTAAAGAGAAACCGAATTTGACATGTTTGCCCATCCTTACCTGCGTGTTTTCTGTGGTCGTCTAAGTGGGGGTCACCTTTGTGCCAGAGTTCGCTCCTTCTGATGGCAGTTTGTCAAAGTCAGGCAGACACTGCACGTCCTGCCCTGTGCATTGGACAGTGCTGAGCCGACAGAAGAGTCTGCAGGATCAGGCCTAAGGCCCATTTCGTCTGACATCCTGTTCTCACAAACGCTAACTAAATGCCTCAATGAGAGCGCCATGAAACCATGTAGATCCGGCCCAACACTGTGATTCTGTGTGTTAATTCATTCCTGTTGCAATCAGCGACAGTACAGACAACTGGGGCTTGTTGCCCTTTCTGTGGCCAGCAGATGGCAACTTTTCTCTTGAGAAATGCAGCTGGAGGATGTTCCCAGCCCTATCTCAGCCAAGCCATGAGGGTCTTGTTCCAGCCATCCGTACAGGGCAGAGTTCGCCACAACCTTCGGTCCCCCCAGGTGACGTTGGACTCCCCCAAATCCCATCATCCCAAGCCTACTTGAAGGGAGCTGTGGTTCAGCAGCAGCAGCTGGCAACCCCAGGTTGAAGAAGGCTGGTGGAAGAGGCAACATGAGTCTCGGGAAGTGAGGAGTCTTGGGATGGATCTCTCTGGCAAAACATGCACTTTGCCTTGGGCAGATCCCAGGTCTTTCTCAACATAAAAGAGCTTCCTAGGTTTCTCTTTAAACTAGCCGTCTATTTTGGACAGTGCAGACTTGAATCTTACATTATTCCTAGAGGAAAGTCTATAGATTCAGTGGCAGAACACAGGCCTTGAATGCAGAGGGGCCCAGATACAATCTTCAACATCTCCAGGTTAGGGCTGGGAGTACCTCCTGCCTGAAACCCTGGAGAGTCCCTGCCAGTCAGTGCAGACAATGCTGAGCTGGATAGACAAATGATACCCACTCCATGGGACGCAGGTGGCACTGTGGGTTAAACCACAGAGCCTAGGACTTGCCATTCAGAAGGTCGGCAGTTCGAATCCCCACAACGGGGTGAGCTCCCATTGCTCAGTCCCTGCTCTTGCCAACCTAGCAGTTCAAAAGCACGGCAAAGTGCAAGTAGATAAATAGGTACCGCTCCAGCGGGAAGGTAAACGGCGTTTCCGTGCACCGCTCTGGTTCGCCAGAAGCGGCTTAGTCCTGCTGGCCACATGACCCGGAAGCTGCACGCTGGCTCCCTCGGCCAATAAAGCGAGATGAGCGGTGCAACCCCAGAGTCGGCCACGACTGGACCTAATGGTCAGGGGTCCTTTACCCACTCCATACAAAGCAGCTTCCTATGTTGGTTCACAGGGGCACCCCTGTTTTTCATCTGTGTGCCATCAGCTGTGATGAGTGCCAGCCGCTGCTTGTCCGAACCCAAGGCGTTTTGCAGCCGGAGGTGGAGGTTGGCAATGGGACAGTATCTTCCATAACACCTAAGGGCAGCAGACTTGATTAAAGGACACGGGGCTGGGTGGGGGAAAGAGAGTGACAGCCTCCCCTGTCTGAGGCAGCTCGTCCCTTTGCCTAATGGTAGGGATGGCCCTCGATTCCAGGTTCCAATACAGTGGTACCTTGGTTGTCAAATGGCTTGGCTCCTGAACAAATCGGCTCCCGAATGCCACAAACCTGGAAGTAAATGTTCCAGTTTGTGGGCGTTTTTGGGAAGCCAGACTTCCGGCACTGCTTCCGCTTGAGTTCAGGAAGCTCCTGCAGCCAATTGGAAGCCGCGCCCTGGTTTTCAAACGCTTTCGGGAGTCGAATGGACTCCCGGAACAGATGTAAGTTTAAAAACCAAGGTACCACTGTACAAACGTCCTCAGGTTTTCAGATGAGCACAACTGCTTTATTAGTAGAATTTGGCATACATTGTGCCCAGTACTACCGGGGACTGTGTGTGTTTGTGAGATAAATGTTTGCACTTTCTGGTTCATTCATATTATTTAGTCGCTCACCATGTTCATTTGTGGATCTTTCATGAAATACTTGGCATTTGAATTTATTTATTTTAAAAAAGAAAGTTTAAGGCGGTATTTTGTTTCCCTCTTAAATAACGCCACTTTTGATACCTCTAGTTTGGTTTCGCATGGTTTGGGATTTGGAGAGTGGTCAGTTTGAATGATACCTGTGGTCCCTTCCACTCCTGTGATCCTTTGTAAGAGAGGGTAGAATCTGTACAAAGAAACCAACCAAACCGGCCAATGGCATTTGCTGGCCAGTTAAGTACCACCATTTGCATGGCCAAAGAGGTTGCCCTGTTGCCATAGAGACAAATGAGTTTAGGGAAGAGGGGACAGCTCTCTCACCTAGTTGGAAGCCACATCACCTTGTAAGGTAAAAGAACAACAGCCAGAGTTATGCTGGAAACTGGGGACACTGAGGAAAGTCTGCTCTGAGTTGGACCCAAAGTGAAGTTTGGGGCTTCCTAGGAAACCTATTGGGGGAGGCAAGCTCTGCTGAAGTGTTAATGCTCTGAGCCTCACCGTCCTACGCTCTGGTTGTAAAGGTGAAGGGACCCCTGACCATTAGGTCCAGTCGTGGCCAACTTGGGCTGCGGCGCTCATCTTGCTTTATTGGCCGAGGGAGCCAGCGTACAGCTTCCGGGTCATGTGGCCAGCATGACTAAGCCGCTTCTGGCGAACCAGAGCAGCGCACGGAAACACCATTTACCTTTCCGCCAGAGTGGTACCTATTTATCTACTTGCACTTGACATGCTTTCGAACTGCTAGGTTGGCAGGAGCAGGGACCGAGCAACGGGAGCTCACCCCGTCATGGCAATGCAAACCGCCGAGCTTCTGATCGGCAAGTCCTAGGTTCTGTGGTTTAACCCACAGCGTCACACGCTCTGGTTGTACATACGTCCAGATAAAACAAAATGTCATAAAGGCATCACAAACTCCATTGACCTTGATTCCAAGAAACCCAAACTCTGGAGTCTCTTCGGTAGGGTGTGTGCAATGGCATTTTGCCCTGTTCTGATTATAAATGGCACGTCTTTCAGAGCAGACCCCCCCCCGAGATGCTCTGCCCGCCCCCTGTATCTGCCGTCCCCCAATCGCCCACACCGCCGACCTTGATGCTTCTCTGCTCTAGGGCGCATCAGCGCCTGGGCTGGTTCTGGATATTGACAAGGGCGAGCGGAATGGGGGCAGGCCCCTTGCTCATTACGCAGGCTGTCACCCCGGATCACATCAGCCCTGCCACGCACGAGGAGCAGGCAGAGCGTTGGCACCAAATCAGGCCATCGGGCTTGGAGATAAGACCCCAAATTCTTGCCCCTAACAGAGCTGGCCCCAAGAAACAGCCAAATAAGGTTTTGGGAAGGCGTATGTTGATCTAGGTACACCCTAGAGAAGTCTCAGAACCTGCTTGGGAGCGTATTAAGCAAGGTGAATGGGTCTCTGAGCATGTTCAGAAGGCTCTAATCCTGTATGCCAGGAGTCACTAGCTTTTGGGGACACATCTGGATTTTTGAGTGAGCGATAGGGCTGTAGCCCCTCCAGTCCCTTCACTCCCTCTCCCCCAAAACCCACCACCACCACCTGAAAAAGAGAGCGCAGCTGTACACACTTTTCCAAAGTATCCGGGTATAAGAGGGATCCAGTAGAATTAGTCTGGGACTTAGAAAGCACATGGAGCTGAAACAGGAAGTGGTAAACAGTACCCTCTCAACTTCTTATTTCTTTGTGGTTTGGTTCACATATTTGTTCAGTAAGAATGTTGGGGCTTTTTAATTTGGAGAAAAGGTGTAGTGGGGACATAGGACGCAAATGTTGCTGAGCTATTTTTGCAAAAACTCAAAAAAATAAGTTTTGGAGCATATTTATAAGGAAATTCACCCAAATCTACACCTCCAACGTGGGTTGCCATTCGTCCAGATTTTCTCAGACATTGTGATTTTCTTCCGGGTACTTTTTCCAATGGTTGAATCCTGGCTATGTGCAGGAAATTCTAGACGTATGGTAACCCTAACATGGGGACATCAATTGCTCTGGTTGTATGTATCTGTGACTAAAACTGTATCTCCACTGACCTTCATGCCAAGGAAGCTGAACTCTGGGTAATTTCAGACACACCCACAATCGTGCTGCTTGGAGATTGGGTTGTGTGCCACACTGGTGTCAGAAGTAGGATCTGGAGGAGGAGGTGTCAGCCCCTCCATCCTATACTCAGGTTGTGTGTGTGTGTGTGTGTGTGTGTCTGTGTGTAAATAAAACCATCGATTCCAAGGACACCCCCGTCTCCACTGACCTTCATGCCAAGGAAGCTGAACTCTGGGTAATCTCAGACACACCTGGAATCGTGTTGCTTGAAGATTGAGTTGTGTCAGAAGTGTCACTGGTGTCAGAAGTGGGATCTGGAGGAGGAGGTGCCAGACCCTCCATCCTATGCTCAGGTTGTGTGTGTGTGTACAGTGGTACCTCAGGTTACAGACGCTTCAGGTTACATACACTTCAGGTTACAGACTCCACTAACCCAGAAATAGTACCTCGGGTTAAGAACTTTGCTTCAGGATGAGAACAGAAATCGTGCTCCGGCGGCACAGCAGCAGCGGGAGGCCCCATTAGCTAAAGTGGTGCTTCAGCTTAAGAACAGTTTCAGGTTAAGAACAGACCTCTGGAACGAATTAAGTACTTAACCTGAGGTACCACTGTATAACCATTGATCCCAAGGACACCGCCGTCTCCATTGACCTTCAGGCCAAGGAAACTGAAACTTGGGCAAGTACAGGAACACCTTGGAGCTTCTCATCCACAGGGACCTTACACCGACCAGGAGTTTTACTCTACCCACACTCCAAGCTGAACCTCCATGAATGCAGACGTGCCCCACAAACTTGTAGAGGGGACAAAAATGTTCCCTGTGTTTAGCCACTGTCACCCTCCCTTCCCCCGGCCCTCTGCCCCCTTCCCAAGGTCGGCCATGTACTACCCACCGAAGCATGCTCCGTCGTGGCCGCAGGGGAATCTCCATCAGCAGATGGGCCTAGCAGATCAAT